ATGCACAAAATAACCCCAAGTGAGACAGTAACAGACACATTAACCTCCAAGAAAAGAATCACTCCCCTGCCCATAAGAAAGCACAGACTACACAGATACATAGGTATCTATGGTAAGAAACTTCAGACCAGTTTCTCAACCTCAGCTCTACTGATATTCTAGGCCAGATAATTCTTGGTTCAGGAGACAGTGTACATTGTAGGATATTTCGTTGCATCCTTAGCCTCTACCTACTAGATGCCTGCAGAACTCGTCAGGTGTGACAACCCAAAAGTCTCTAGACATTGCCAAATGTCCCCGGGGTGGGGAGGGCAAAATTGCCCCTGGTCAAGAACCACTGCCCTGAGAAGCAATTATCACTCAAACCCCACCTAGCACCACCAGGCTGCATATGCTAACCTTGATTCATCTATGAATACCAGCTAATTTAGTCATCATTTTCTGATGGGAAGAGAAAAAAGCCACCTAAGGGGTACACCTGACTTTATAAAGTATCTTTTCCTTAAAAACTACAAGTATTTGGCAGCTTGCAAAGTGATACCACCTCTAGCACCAAAGAGGAGAGTATGAGTAAAAAGAATGGTTGCCAAGGGGGAGAAAGGCTGCTACAAAACTACCTGACTTGAATTCCCTCTGACATCATCGCAACTCTCAGCAGATTAACTCACTCACTCATTTTATTCTTTATGAGAGACAGGTGGAAAGTACTGCAGCCTATGACATGTCACATATGAGCAAATGGAAAAAGGCAAGCAAACTGTCCTAATCAAATGAGAACAAAATTGAACACAGGAACTCACTGAGGGGGACAGCCCAAGCCCTTCAGTCCAGATTCAAGGCTTGTTATTCGTGGACTCCAGGTCATCTCCAGGTTTTCTCTCACAGCATACTGTCCACTCAAGTAGATTTCAACCCTATGACCCAATGCCTTCTTTTTATAACAAATATTCTGTAATGCCCTTTTGCTATGCTGAAATGACATTCAAGATTGTAACACTACACCTGCAGACACAAATTTTAAAATTTCAATATAACACCTTAAATGCAATGTAAAGGAAAATAAAACACAATTTGGTTTGTGTGTTTTGTTTTTGTTTTGAGACAGTCTCGCTCTCTTGCCCAGGCTGAAACGTAGTGGTACAATCTCAGCTCACTGCAACCTCTTCCTCCCAGGTTCAAGCAATTCTCTTGCCTCAGCCTCCCGAGTAGCCAGGATTACAAGCGTGTGCCACCACACCCAGCTAATGTTTGTATTTTTAGTGGAGACAGGGTTTCGCCATGTTGGCAGGCTGATCTAGAACACCTGGCCTCAAGTGCTTTGCCCGCCTCAGCCTCCAGAAGTGCTGGGATTACAGGCATGAGCCACCACGCCTGACCCAATAAGCAAGATTTAATAAAACATGTATTTTCAGATAAGACTACACTAGAAAAAAAAAAAAGATTCCCTCCTCCCCCAGACGCCTATTCCCAAAGTGCCCTCTAGAGGCCAGAGCCATCCTACCCCATCTGCTCCCATCAGTCACAATGGTCAGCAACCTCCACCCTTACCAGGGGTAAGCACACAAAGTAGGTAAGAGGTAAGGATCTGAAGTCAGACCAACTGAGGCCAAACGGCTCCACCACTCAACTGCTGTGGTTACCCTCTATAAGCCTAGTTTTTCATCTATAAAAGAAGGATTGCAAAAGGTTTTTGTGAAAATTAAGTACAGTATTCCCACACTTAACATGTAATACATGCTGAATAAATGTTAGCTACCGGAGTTAACAATACTATTCCTAAATCCACCTAGTATTGTTTTCTAGTTTCTGCTCACTGATGCCATTAGCAGAAAAGATGGAAGACTGGATATCCACTTATCAGAGACGCTCTTCAAAAGACTCGGGTATAAGAAGCCACATCATAGGCCAGGTGCAGTGGCTCATGCCTGTAATCCCAGCACCTTAGGAGGCCAAGGTGGGCAGTTGGATCCCTTGAGCCCAGGAGTTAGATACCAGCCTAGGCAACATGGCAAAATACCATCTCTACAAAAAAAATACAAAAATCAGCCAGGGGTGGTGGCATGTGCCTGTCGTCCCAGCTACTCAGGAAGCTGAGGTGGAAGGATCAACTGAGCCTCAGAGATCAAGGATGCAGTAAGCTGAGATCACACCACTGCACTCCAACCTGGGTGTCAGAATGAGACCTTGCCTCCAAAAAAAGGAAGCTGCATCACATGACTTCTAAGATTATTTCTAATTCTGAGACGCTACACTGCACTGAGGTTTTTTCATTCACTTAGGTCCTTCCGTCCCAGCTGGAGGGTCAAGAACGCATCTTATATATCATATAACATAGTTAGAGAAACACCTCATACCATGATGGTTTAGTGTGTCACTGAAAACCCAGCCTTGGTCGCTGGTTCTTCACCATTTAGTCCCAAATAGTATTATACATTACAGTCAAGGAATGAGTGACAGCTTTTCCAGTGGAAGCACTTCATGCAACATGTATGTTTTCTTCAGAAAGTAATGACTGTCTAGGGCCACTTGCATCTATGTGAATTAATTCCTTACAGCAACAAGCAAAGCAACACTCCTAAACATTCTAGGTTAACAGGTGAGGAAGTCAAAAAAGGTGGTGGCAACAACCAGATAAATACCTCAAAACAAAACTGATTCCAAAGATAATATTCTGAGTAAAAGCAATCATTGCTCTATTAAAGTAAACACATAGGCCCTAGAAGTAATAGGCGCGTCTCTGTGCATGGGAAAATATCCTACTTACATATAAGAACCTATAATTTACATAAACATATCCATCTATAAGAGGAAAAACAGAAACTGTCAATTACTACAAGTCACTCTGCATTAACTACCCAAGATGCTCACAGCAGTTATTTCTGGGTGATAAATTACTCCGGGGGTAGAGGGGAATGAATGGGGGGTGTAGGAGATAGGGAGGATTAACAAATCCCTGTTCCTTTTGCTTATTTGTAGTTTCCAGTATTTCTAACACAATGCTCTCTTAATAAGAATTTTAAGTTATATATGGCTATTTATTAAAAATCCACAAAATTTGGGGGCAAGAAACCGTTTTTGACGAACTTTTCATTGGGATCCATGGATAACCTAAGTATTCACCTATGTCTCTCCCATACAACCTAAAATCATCCTAGTTCCCCACCTCAAATCGCAATGCAAGGGATCAAAACTTAGTTTCTCTCTTCTCTATTCCCTCTGCAGACCTTACAGGTTATGCCACTACAATGTCAGCACTGAGTATAAGAAAACCTCACTACCAGTTTTTGCCAGTTTCCCAGTGACACCAACCCACCCTCTGGGATCATGAGATAAAAGAGAGAAATGAATTGTTTTTAAATCACTGATTTTGCACTGAGAGAAATGACTTATTTAAAAAAAACATCCTTGGCTGGGTGCAGTGGTTCATACCTTTAAGTAATCCCAGCCCTTTGGGAGGCCAAAGCAGTAGATTACCTGAGGTTAAGAGTTTGAGATCCTGGCTAACATGGCAAAACCCCATCTCTATTGAAAATACAAAAATTAGCCAGGCATGGTGGCATGCACCTGTAATCCCAGCTACTCGGGAGGCTGAGGCAGGAGAATCACTTGAAGAACTCGAGTGAAGATCATGCCATTGCCCTCCAGCCTGGGCAACAAGAGTGAACTCCACCACAAAAAAAAAAAAAAAAAAAAAACTAAACCCGGACACTTTTTCTATATCACCATTTCACAGCTATGAACTCCCCACAATTCTCACACTGAAAAGCCTGTAAAGAATCATAAACGTCCCAAAAATAAAATGTCATTTTGGTAAACACACATTTAGCAACACTATTCTTTCCCGCTCAGTACAACAGCACAGAAAGATCTCAGGCATACCTCTCTGCCCACCAAAAGAACTTAAATACAGACTGGTCCAATCCAACAAGCATTTGTTAAGCACCTACTGTATTCAGAACACCATGCTAGGTGTTTATTCATCTCTAAAAAAGTAGACATATGTGCCTGCCAGGGAACCATAACTCTAATTTGGAAGACAAACACTCAGGATGAACTAATATATGGCAGACCCCGATAAAATGTAATAACAGAGGTTTCAAATCTGCTCTGTTAGTATGGAAAGGGAGGGATTAAAACTGCAATAATTAGAAAAAGAAAGCCAGGAGAGGTGGTTCCTGCTCCTAGTCCTAGCTACTTCAGAGGCTGAAGCAAGAGGATCACTTGAAATGGGAGTTCCAGGCTGCAGTGAGCTATGATTATGCCTGTAAACAGCCACTGAACTCCAGGCTGAGCAACATAGCAAGACCCTGTCTCATTTATTAATAAATAAATAAATAAATAATTTTCAAAAAGATTCTTCAATGTTTTAAGTTCTACAATATACTGTATTGATATAGTTAATTCAGTCATTTATTCACCCTAATCATTCATCCAAAATAAAAGGTGGTTGGCTGAGCTTGGTGGTAATCCCAGCACTGGAAGGCCAAGGTGAGTGGATCACCTGAGGTTAGGGAGTTCAAGACCAGCCTGGCCAACATGGTGAAACCCTGTCTCTACTAAAAATACAAAAATTAGCTGGGCGTAGCAAATCCCAGCATTTTGGGTGGCCTAGGCCAGTGGATCACTTAAGGTCAAGAGTTTGATATCAGCCTGGCCAACACGGCAAAACTCCATCTCTACTAAAAATACAAAAATTAGCCGGGTGTGGTGGCGCGCGCCTGGAATCCCAGCTACTTAGGAGACTAAGGCAGCAGAGTCGCTTGAACCTGGGAGGTGGAGGCTGCACGGTGAACCGAGATCGCGCCACTGCACTCCAGCCTGGGCAACAGTGAGATGCCGTCTCCAAAAAGAAACAAAGCAAAACAAAATAAAAGGTGGCAGAAATGCTCAGCTACCAAAAGCAAGCATCAGAGGGGAAATCTACACACTGGGATCCTTTGAACTAAAAAAACCGAGACAAGCGCCTTCGAACCAGGAGGATGTCTACAAAAAAGGCTCACCAACATCAGAAGGTCTGTGCTAGGCATCTTCCTCGTTCAGCCTCCTCTTCTTCAGAATCTGTAAAAGGGAACCAGGTTTGTTTACTTCCAGAGCTTTAAACTGTCTCACCGGCCCGCCTAGATTCGCCAGAGTAACCAAGTTATGGTTATGCCCCTCCTTTGAAGGCTCAGATTTCACTCCCAGATATTACACTCCACCCCCTGCACCAGACTAGCGAATCAAATTCCTGCTGCAACTAGGTTTCCCTCCCACAGCTGATGAAACGAATCCAGACCTAGACTCCCACAAAGCATTCCATCCAGGTGGATACTAGGGGAGACGCCCCGTCTGCGCGCGATCAGGGTGGGGAGCCCAGAGCCCAGCCCAGGCCACCTAACCCGGGCTGAGGTGTGCCGGGATCCTGAGAGTGCCAGGATCCTGTCTCCTCCGCACTCCCTTCAGAAGTAGCCCGGCCTCGCTCCCGTCGTCACGCCTCCCTCCTCGCAGGCCTCCCTTCCCTTTGGAGGACCAGCAAACCCTGGCTGCCCACGCCCACTCCTACTCCGGCTGCAGGAGTGGGCTCCAGGCCCGCCCCCACCGCAGCCCCACGCCCGCCTGCAGTCCACTCACTCGTACCTCGGCTGCCGGTGCCCACGCCTTCAGCCCGCCTCCGCCCTGGCCACAGCCGCCCCGCGCCTCTGCGCGCCCCCGGCCTCAGTCCTCTTCTCACCCCGCGGCGCCTCCATCCCGACCCTCCCCGCTCCCCAGAGCCCCCGGCGATCCCTCCACCTCCTCACGCCGGAACCAGCTTCCCGTCTCCTTCCCTCGAGCACTCTCCCACGCCTGCCACCTCCACCTCCCACGTCTTCCTCAGCGCTCGACCTACTCGCGAGCCAAGGGATACGGACTACCAGGTCTCCTCTGCCGCAGCCAGGATTAGAGGCCCGGCCGCCGCCGGCCCCGCCCCTCCCGGAAATGGCTTCGGGGCGCCGGCCTGGCTCCCGGACCCCGCCGTGCGCGGCCCCGCTGCCACCAGCCGCGCGCACGCCCGGACCCAGGCCCCATGGCGTGTGCGCGCCACCTGCTGGCCAGGCAGCAGGCTGCACCCAGGCCCTCCAGTGACTGTCTCAACCAGGCCGTCCTGGGGTTCGCTGTGGGATCCTGATGGTCACCAACTTCTCTTCCAGCCTGCCTTTAAAAAAACGCTTTCTGGTCACATTTGGCCACTTGGAACTCCCTGAGCGAGTAGGCCTGCAGGGCATTGTACAAACTAATCCAAATCAGCCACAGAGTTAGGTCTCTAGAGGAAGATTTTGGGATTTTAATTAATGAGCAAGGCATTTGACCTTTCTCGTGCATCAAAATCCCAAGACCTGTCTCTTTCCTGGGACGGGGACTTCATTTTTCCATCGAGGTCAGTGGTGCGTGAAGAAAAGAAACATGGAAACTTATTTCATGGAAATGCCATCCCCAGCCTCCCCTCCACCACCGCCCCTCAAAAAAAATGGAGAGCAGAGACTATTCTGCCATCATCACTACTTTTCATGAGCAGTGCTGGGAATCGTCTTGCGCGCAAGGGCCCACTGGGATCACAAAGGTCACCTTCATTTCCTGACCAAAAAAACTAAGTCTCAGCTGGGTGCAGTGGCTTACGTCGGTAATCCCAGCACTTTGGGAGACTGAGGCCAGAGGATTGTCTGAGCCGAAGAGTTCTAGATCAGCCTGAGCAACATACCGAGACCCCCCAGCTCCAAAAAAAAAAAAAAAAAAAAAAAACTAAGTCTCAGATAGGTTTCCCATGACTTGTCCATGTTGTCATGGATTGCTTTAGTGGAAGCAGAAGGCAGTGCAGTTACCTGGAACCAACTGGTCAGGGACCTGCATTCAAGATTATTTTTTCAGTAGATTTTAAAATGACACCTAGATGGAATCTTGAAATCTCTCAAACAAAAATGACACTAATGAGGGTACCCAATTCCAACCCCTTGGAAAATGTTGCCATGACACTAAAATGAGGGCATTATCATCACTACCACCATTATCCTCACGTAGTGCTTTCAGGATGAAATGTACTATCACAGATGCCCTCCTCTGCACACCCCATCCGCACTTTCCAGTTCCCCAGCCAGAATGGTTAAGGCCCTGAAAGACTGTAACAGGTTATCTTTAGGCTTCCTCACCCCCATTCCTTCAGAACTCCCAGACACCTCTACCATCCAGAGCCCCCAACTGAGGCACGAACACCCCCATACCCTTACCCCTCTCAGTACTGTTACCCAGCAGACATGCATTCTCAGTGTTTAAGGGTCAGAAAATGTTCTGGGGCCTCCTGCCAATGCCTGCTCATCAAGAGTTGCTTTGGGGTTTCAAGCATACCTTCCCATTCCCCATCTCCTACCCTTCTGCTTTAATTCTTTATCAGATCCCCCAGGAACTGCACATCTCCTCTCCCACCTTCTTGTTGGCTACCACCCTACCCCCATCCTTTAATTTAGAATCTATGCACCCAGATGACTAGAGGGTAGGGTCATGTCTGATTCCTCCCTACACCTTAACACACAGAATGCAGTCTGCTTATTCTTCCAGATGCACAAACCAATTCAATCGTACTGATGGATCCTTACTTTGCCAAGAACTATGCTAGGCACCTTTACATACAAGCTTTATTTATGTCCTGACCTGCACAGATCAGGTGACTCTCATCAGCTCTCAACTTGTAAACAAGGACACCAGGACCAAAGAAGGACGTGATCCTCCCAAATACACACAGGCAGGATGGGGTGGAGTTTGGATGGGGATCCAAGGCTTCAGACTTTGTAGGGAGGAACTCAAATATGCAGAAACTGAGGTCCAGAGAGAGAGATGCAACTCCTGGCAGTTCCTGGCAGAGCCCAGCCTAGAACATGGATCTGGGCTTGCAACTCTGTGAGCCAACGAAGCTGTGTGTGTGTGTGTGTGTGTGTGTGTGTGTGTGTGTGTGTGTGTGTGTGTGTGTGCGCGCGCGCGCGCGCGCGCGCAGCATTGGCATCACCTGAGAGCTTGTTGAATGGATGTTCTTGGAGCCCCCCTCCAGGCCTCCTGAATCAGAATCTACATCTTAACAAGGTCCCCAGGTGATCTCAATGCACAAGAAAGTAACAAGTACTTCCCTAGACCCTATTTTTGCAGAGAAAGCACAATTTTTGTTTGCTTATTTAGAAACGGGGTCTCAATATGTTGCCCAGGCTGGAGTGTAGTGGCTATTTACACCTGTGATCTTAGCTCAGTACAGCCTTGAACTCCTGGGCTCAAGCAATCCTCCTCTCTCTCAGCCCCCTGAGTAGCCGGGACTACAGACACATGGTGCTTTGCCCAGAGGCACGATAGTTGTATTAAGTTTGTGGGTTGTTTGGGATGGCTCAAGGAGGTGGATGAAGAGGGTGTCTGCCTGGGGCTGTGGAGGGAACCAGTGCTCCCCAGTTGTCCTTTGGTACCATCATGGTACCTTCCAGGATGATGACAAAAGATTGTCATTCGGGTGTCAGTGAGGCCCTGAAATTCCCACAGATGACAGAAGCCTTGGGGATTGGGAGGCAGGTGTAGGGCAAGATGGCCTGGGATATTTTCCCTCTGTGGCTTCCTTAATTTAGGCTGGGAGGATCTCCCTGTAGTGCTTGTGTCTACCATCGTTTAAACAATTCATGCCAGCAAATCTGGTTCTGCTTAAAATGGCAGTCATCCATGACCAAGTTAGTGACAGCCTCCCCCTCATGCATGAGCACACACTCCTACTCTAAAAAGCAGGCGCACATACTCTCCTGCCTCCATTCTTGTTTCTGACACCCCTTGCTCAGCTGGGGACCTTCTTGGGAAGTTCACTTCAAGACAGGGCTGTGGGCAGGTCTTAGGAGGTTTGCAGCCTCTGGGCCAGTCCTGGAAAGGAATGGCCCACAGGAAACCAACAAACAGTTCCTGGAGCCCAGAATGCCCAAGAAGGGGCAGAAGACCAGCACATAGCTCCAGCAGCAGGCTGGGCTGGTCACAGCAGAGCTGGCCACCAAGGGAGGGAGACGCCAAGGGCCAGACAGACATGGGAGCACCCACAGAAAGGACCAAATGCCCTGACATTGCCAACTGCAGTGAGAAAGGGGCAGCGAGTCACCAAGTTATCACAGGCCCCCTGCCTCATCCAGGTAAGTGTCCCAGGTGCCAGTTTGATCAAAGTCAAAGTGGCCAGCCCTCAGAGAGCCAAGAGTTATTTCCCAAGGAAACATCTTTCCTAAAGAAGCCCACTGTTGGGTTTGGATCTGTGTCCTCACCCAAATCTCATCTCATATTGTAACTCTCGGCTGGGTGCAGTGGCTCAAGCCTGTAATCCCAGCACTTTGGGAGGCCAAGGCAGGAGGATCACAAGGTCAAGAGATCGAGACCATCCTGGCCAACATGGTGAAACCTCGTCTCTATTAAAAATATAAAATTAGCTGGGTGTGGTGGTGCATGCCTGTAGTACCAGCTACTGAGGAAGCTGAGGCAGAAGAACTGCTTGAACAGGGGAGGTGGAGGTTGCAGTGAGCCTAGATCATGCCACTGCACTCTAGGCTGGCCACAGAGCAAGACTCCATCTCAAAAAAAAAAAGGAATTGTAAGTCTGTAACTCCCACTCCTAGAGTGAGGCAGGAAATTGGATCATGGGGGCAGTTCCCCCATGCTGTTCTCATGGCAGTGAGAGATCACTCATGAGGTCTGATGGTTTTGTAAGTGTTCGGAACTTCTTCCTTCGTTCTCTCTCCTGCTGCCTTGTGAAGAAGGTGCTTGCTTCTCCTTCACCATCAGCCATGATTTTCCACATCCAGCTATGTGGAACTGAGTCAGTTAAACCTCTTTCCTTTCTAAAGTCCCAGTCTCAGGGAAGTTCTTAATAACAGCGTGAAACGGACTAATACACCCGCCATTGTTGCCATCCAAGCTGCACAGTCACTCCTAGAAAACATCAAAAACTGAGAGCAACTGTTTATCCAACACCAAATACACATGAACTTCCTTTGACAAAATAGCTTTGAAGGCAGGTAAGCAGGCCTCTACTCAGGAATCATTGTGTGGCCTCCAGCAAGTTGTTTTAACTGTCCAAACCTGGGCTTCCTCCTATGTAAAGCAAGAATTAACCACGACCCTAGGACTGTTGTGGCGTGTAAGAGATGCATGTGTGTCCCCATCACATATGGGGCCTGATCCACCATAGGCACTCAAGAATTATTACTATTATTATTATTAATTTATAAAGACAATGTCTCTCTATGTTGCCCATGCTGCTCCTGAGGATACTCAAGTGATTCTCCCACCTTAGCCTCCCAAAGTGCCAGGATAACACGTGTGAGCCACGGTGCCCTGCCAAGAATTATTGGTCTAACACCCTCCATGTATATCCAGGGTGTGCTCAAATAAGATTCCAGTCTGAGCCCTGTGACTGACTAAGCCCAGCCCTCTCACCTTGTTGCTGTAGGTTGGTTTTGATCTCCATCAGGACCTGATCCTGACAAGTTGGTTAGTCCTTCCAGTGTGTGCCTTGCCCTCTCTAGGGCATCCTAGACCTCTGAGAGGCTTGTCTGAGAGCTACAGATCTACTGTTTTCATGCAGGTTTAATTGCTTGTAGACCAATAAGTCTCAAACCAACCAGATCCCACACCCCTGTTTGTAACAAAGATTGTAACTCCCTTCTACTGTCTTCCCTGTTTTATAACTCCCTTCTACTATCTTGAAATCAATATAACACTATGACTTTAAAAGGGAATGTCATGATAATAAAATCATACATGAAGTTGGCAGAGGCATGGGCTTACTTTTTTTTTTTTTAGATGGAATCTCGCTTTGTTGCCCAGGCAGGTGTGCAATGGTGCGATCTTAGCTCACTCGCAACCTCTGCCTCCTGGTTTCAAGCAATTCTCCTGTCTCAGCCTCTTGAGTAGCTGGGATTACAGGCACATGCCACCACGCCAGTCTAATTTTTGTATTTTTAGTAGGGACAGGGTTTCACCATGTTGGCCAGACTGGTCTTGAACTCCTGACCTCGTGATCCATCTGCCTTGGCCTCCCAAAGTGCTGGGATACAGGCGTGAGCCACCACGCCTGGCCGAGGCATGGACTTAACAGTGGATATGTTTGCGTGATGGGAATGCCATATTTAATTGAATAGTGCTGCCACTGTTGTTTTTATATCTGACATTTTGAAATAAGGACTAAATTAGGATATTCACAGAACTAGATACAGTCGTCATGGATAGGACAGCTGCCGACAGAGACCCGTATAGAGGTAGCATCTCGGTGACTTAATTACTATGTGAGCAGCATTGCCATGGATGATGTGATATTACAAAACTGTGGATTAGGGTTGAAAGCGTTCCAAACAAAATGAAGGACAACTTACATGCAGCTGTCAACATGGTAGTTGTACTCCGGGTAGGTTATACAATAAAATCATGTTTGTTGTTGTTTGAGACAGAGTCTCACTCTGTCACCCAGGCTGGAGTTTAGTGGCACAATCTCAGCTCACTGCAACCTCTATCTCCTGGGTTCAAGTGATTCTCTTGCCACAGCTTCCTCAGTAGCTGGGATTACAGGCGCCTGCCACTGAACCTGGCTAATTTTTGTATTTTTGGTAGAGATAAGGTTTCCACATGTCGACCAGTATGGTCTCAAACTCCTGACCTCAGGTGATTCACCTGCCAGGGGATTACAGGTATAAGCCACTGCACCTAGCTGTTTTTGTTCTTTTTTTTAAACGTATGTGTAAAGTGAAGTTGATTATGGCTCATTTGACTATAAACTAGCTTTTCACCTCTATGAATATTCTGATGGTGCATTCAAAAGATGTATAGGACTCAGGACAATTCTTCATTGTGAGGGATGCATCCTATCACTGAATTCCAGAGGAACCAGCCTCATCATTGTGACAACCAAACGTTTTTTAATTTCCAGAGTGCTCCCTAGGGAGCCCAGCTGCCCCAGTGAGAGATTCTCTTGCGGACTGATAACAAAGATACACTCCAGCACAAGCCTCATTTTAGGATCTACAGCTGAGGATTCGTCAAGCCAGAAGGACTTAAGCATCATCCAGGTGCCTGTGTCCATTTAGCATGGACTGTTAGCATCACCAAGGAGCCTTTCAAAATCCACGTCAGGGCTCTCCTGCAGATGGAGTGAATGAGGTGTGAGGCCCAGACATCTGTCTTTTGTACATTCCTAGATGAGAGCTGCAAGATTCTATCCATTTTTATCTGTTTCTGAGCCTTGGTCTTGCAGCTAATGGGGGCAGAACATAAAAGTCCTGACATTCTAGCCCCAGAAGCCCGATCCAGGAAATGTAGCGAAATTTGTGGGTTCTTGTGGGGCTGCTGGGACGCTGTGCTGTGGAGTTTTGGTTGCACCATTAACTCTCTCTGGGCTTCGATTTCCTCATCTCAAAATTAGGTAGAGAGGGGGAAGCTGCTCCTCACCTCTGTCAGTCTAGAGTGCTCCTTGGGCCACTGGGGTTACCCTTCCCAGAATCCTCTGTTTGGTATCTCCATCTGTCTGTCTCCTGGTGCCAAAGAAGGGCCTGCTGTCATGTGGTTACTTGGTTGGGAGAGTGTTTGTCCTGGCCCTGCTGTGAGGATGATCATGTTGCCAGATTGCCCTGGGGGGCCAGGTTCTCTCACCGCCCTTCTGAGTGTTGACATAGATGGGACATGATAAAGAGGTCCAGTGAGTAAACAGAGGACCAGTGGGGTAATTTCAGCCCTTGGCCCTGGTTTGCTCCTTGTCTGGCCCTGTAGAACTGATTTCCACAGTTCACTCAGAGGGACTGGGCAGCACCTGTATCCTAGGCTCAGAGGTCAGGGTAGCCAGGGGTGTGTCCTAATCTACAAGAGTTGAAGAGCTTTTTATGTCTAAAACTGAATGAAAGGAATTTTCTCTAGTCAGTGACTAACGGAGGAATATTCTCTATGCTCAGTGGGAGTGACCGAGGCAGAGGGATCAAGGGCAGCTTGAGCTGAGAACATAGCAGAATCAGGAGTCAACCAGGCAGAGAGGGGCAGAAAGAGTGTATTGGCTGAGCAAGTGCTGAGGACCAGTGGTGGGGCAGGGGGGCCAGGCCACTGTGGCCAGAGACAAGCCTGAGAGGGACGGAAGGGAGAAGCTGGCATGCAGGTCAGTAGGGGCAGGCATGGAAAATACATATGCCTTCCGGGGGCCCAGGCAGGTAACGTGACTGCTACCAATTGGGAATGTAGGCTTCGGGCTCATTCATTCAACTATTCAATGCCACGTTGCAATATTGATGGCCTGCGATGGATCATCAAGCAAAACAAAGAGCCCTGCCCTCAAGCAACTTACATTCCAGCAGAAGGAGACAGACATAAGCATAATAAATAAGTAAACTATACGGTATGTTAGGAGATGCTTGGGGCTATGGAAAGGGAGGAAGCAAAGTAGTGTAAGGGAAGCACGAAGTATGGGGCTTGGGGCAGGATGCCATGGGTACTGCAATTTTATGTATTTAGTTTTTTGAGATGGAGTCTCACTCTGTGGCCCAGACTAAAGTTACAGTGGTGCCATCTTGGCTCACTGCAACTTCCAGCTCCCAGGTTCAAGCAATTCTCCTGCCTCAGCTTCCCAAGTAACTGGGACAGGTGCACATCACCACTCCAGCCTAATTTTTGTATTTTTTTAATTGCATTTTAGGTTTGGGAGTACATGTGAAGAACATGCAAGATTGTTGCATAGGTACACACATGGCAGTGTAATGTGCTGCCTTCCTCCCCATCACCTATATCTGGCATTTCTCCCCATGCTGTCTCTCCCCAACTCCCCACCCCCTGCTTTTTAATAGAGATGGAGTTTTACCACATTGGCCAGGCTGGTCTTGAATTCCTGACCTTGGGTGATCCACGTGCCTTGGCCTCCCGAAGTGCTGGGATTACAGTCATGAGCCACCACACCTGGCAATTTAAAATAGAATAGTAGGGTAATTCAGTATCTCAATTTTCCAAGGAAAAACAGAAATCTAGATTTTAAAAAATTCTCTCAATTTTAAAATGATGATGCCCTGGGAGCCTGCCAGAGTCAGAGATTATTCTCACTCTCTTTGCCAGGGACACTTTGGTTCTTTGTGTTGAACAGTGGGTTCAGCACTCCAAGAGACACAGCCCACTTAAAGGGCTTGTCATTAACCCTTGGACACAAGCTTCAGATGTTACCAACAATGCTTTTCAGCCATCTGTGGAGAGTGCTTCCTTTTTCCATACGCCCAAGTTGCTCAGAACTCCCATTTTCTTGGGGCAGACACAGGGGTCGCCTGCAGCCCCACTCCTTGCCCAAGCTCTAGGGGAAAGACAGGACTGTTGCTTCAGAGCAGAACAGTGCGGTCTCTGGAGCATAAATGAGGCCCATCATGCCTTCTCTCTCGCCTCCAGGTGCTACAGGCAGGGACAACAGGCAGGTCCCTCTTTATTCTTAGTTAACAACAGGAAATAGCAAGCCAGCATAATTTCTGGACAAAAAGAGCACATAGTTTTATAGAAGAACCATGCTGTTTTCTTGTTGCAATCTGCATAATTTATCTTGTGACCACAGTGTAACTCACTGAATCACCTCTGTTTGTTAATTCCATCTTTTTCCTCCCAAGATACAAAGGGGGGAAAAATCTCTAGTTGTGTGGTGATGGTCAAGAGCTCTAAAAGATCATGAAGTGTGATACAACCAAGGAACTCCCAGAACTTTGGGGAACTCATTCAGTTTTGAAGATCTTTTAAAATGGAGATATACTTTATGTACAGACAAGTCCAGGAATCAAAGCGTAGAGTTGATGAGTATTCACATAGTGAATACCATTGTTCAGTGCCACCCAGATCAAGAAACAGTATGTCACCAGTTCAACTGTTCTTTAAATAAACGCAAATGCAGATGGCAAGCCTCCTGTCTGAGACCTCCAGGTCCTACAGGAAATAGTATTTTGAGCAACAGCCATTGAAGTCTGTTCAGTTAAGGGACTGACAATATTCTATTTGTGTTTTAGAACAATCCCTCTGTGAGGTATGGAGAATGGCTGGGAGAGAATTCACATGGGCAAGGTACTCAGCAAAGAATGAAGACAGTTGGTTCTAGAACAATGGCATAAGCTTAGAAGATGGACCTTTGGAAAGTGAGAGAGCAGATTGAAACAAGACTCCCAAAGCCACAAGCTACCCTGGCGAGCAGGCTCCCACATGTGCCCTCAAGCCAAGATTCCCAGGGAAGAAGTCACATACAGAGCTCAGGGGAAACTAACCCATATCTAGTCGGCTCTACCTTTAACTCATTGCAGCAAGATTGGGGTACCTCTCCCTTAACCACCGGATTCTTTCTGACTTGAAGGTTGGTTGGCAGAAGTAACCATAGAGTGACTGTGTTCATGCTGGTGCTATTTCAGCTTATCCTAAGTGCTATGGGTTGAACTGTGTCCCCCAACAATCCATGTGGTAAACTCCTCCATCCCAGTACCTCTGAATATGGCCTTACTTGAAAATAGGGTCATGGCAGACATCATGAGTTAAGATGCAGTACTACTGGAAGAGGGTGCACCCCTAGCCTAATATGACTGGTGTCCTTATAAAAAGGGGCAATTTAGATAGACACGCATAGAGGGGGAGCCCCATGTGAAAATGAAGGCGGTAATCAGAATGATGACTTTACAAGCCAAAGACCATCAAAGGTTGCCAGCAAACCACCAGTAGCTAGGGGAGGGCCACGGAACGAGTTTTTCCTCATCGCCCTCAGAAGGAAGCAGCCTGGCCAACACCTTCATCTCAGATTTCTACCTTCCAGAACTGGGAGACAATCTGTTTCTGATATGCAAGTCACCCCAGTTTGTGGCACTTTGTTTACAACAGCCTGATTAGCAAGCTAACGCAGATTCTCGCGCTAGCCCCAAACCTCAGTAGGTTGGCAATAGAGGAATGGGAAGGGCGGGGTGGCATGACCATTCTCGGTGGCCTCATGTTCCCCCTGAGCTTCCAAGTGTTGGGGCAGTGGTGGGGCCTCAGAAGCCTGCAGAGCTCCCCAGTAGCTGCTGCCAACTGGCTTTCTGGGAGACAAAGCAGCCTCAAGCTGGTCCTTGTGGGTGTCCCTGAGGGTACTGCCACATTCAGTTTTACGGTATAAACCCACGCCTGCCACTTAGGGACAGCTGTTGCAGGAGGCACTGCAGAGGAAACCACTCACTCAGACATATTTCAAATGACCACTCTTATTATCAACTATCCATTTAATTCAAGCATGTCTAATGTTTAAACCATGTGCGCTGGCTGCCTACCCAAACACCTAACTCAACATTCCTCGCTATTGCATCATCTTAGAACAAATTAAACTCATTTCATTTGAATATTCATGTAAATTCCTTCAATACATCACACAAATCCTTTAAAATAAACTGTTTATAGCTAGTAGCCATGTCCTGACCTCAGCCGTCTACCTACAGGGAAGTCTTACAAAGTTTCTAGTTGGGAACAGATGTCCCTTTGGGAATTGCCCAATGTTGTCTCAGGACATGACCTCACAATAGCAAAAACAAGTCAAGGCCTTGGCTAGAAAGTTCTTCTTAACAAGTCAGTTACAGGACAAGCATAACTAAGTCCGCAGAGGTGACCTGGGCGCCTAACCCCAGCCAATATGGAAAGCACGCACTTACCTGGTAACCCCTCCATATATGGTAACCCATAGCAATAATCATCTATCAATGGCTGTTCTGATCTATCTGTAAATTAGATCACACAGGGAGAAGACAACCTTGAAGGGAAAGACACCATAAGAAGCCCGGTTAACTGAATGCCCTTCTTGAACCTGGCCGCAACGACCCCTAGGATCAGCCGCTGCGTCTCTCCACCTTCATCTCCCCCATTCCCACCTCACTCTCAGACTTTATGTCCCAACCATACTCACAGTGACTATCTGGGATACTTTTGAAACTGAGGACATATTATTAAGTTTTCTGGGGCAGCAAGTGTATATCAGTCTGTTCTAACGATCTGGGACTTCTGGTCTCCCTAGCCATCTAGAACAACTTAGAGCTCCCATCACATGCCCTGGGCTTTTAGAGCCCTAGACTTCTGCATGTGCTGTTCCCTTTTCTTGGAGCATCCGCCACTCCTCGCTCTACTTGCAACCTTCCCCATAAAGGCTAGAACAAGAATACTAACCAGAACCCCAAGGGGGTATATTTCAGCTCAATATTAAGAAGAACTTTCTAGCCAAGAAACCTAAACAGAAAATGAACAGGCAGCCTTGGGCAGTAGAGAGCTTCTTGTCTCTAGAGGTGTTTAAATGATCAATGCTAGCAAACCCTTGACAGGAATGAGGCAAGGATGCAAGCCTATAGTAGATGAATGGCCTGAATAAATACCTGAGACTCTATGACTCACTTATTCATCCATTCAGTGAATACTGGGCATCAGGCACTGTACCAAGAGCCTGATGAATTAACACAAAGTAAACACACCCATGTAACCACCACATAGATCAAGGCCCCTGTATTTGGTAGTGAACAAGGCAAATGTGACCTCTGACCTCTTAGAACTTACAGTCTTGCAGAAGAGATATATAAAATTGTAGCCTGTAATCCCAACACTTTGGGAGGCAGAGGCGGGAGATCATGAGGTCAAGAGATCGAGACCATCCTGGCCAACCTGGTGAAACCCTGTCACTACTAAAAATACAAAAATTAGCTAGGTGTCCTGGCACATGCCTGTAGTCTCAGCAACTTGGGAGGCTGGGGCAGGAGAATCACTTGAACCCGGGAGGTGGAGGTTTCAGTGAGCCAAGATGGTGCCACTACACCCCAGCCTGGTGACAGAGTAAGACTCTATCTCAAGAAAAAAAAAATTGTAAGAATTATTGGGTACTAAGAGAGAGTACAGGAGGAGAACTAGGTGTGGGGACCTAGTTTTGTTCCCCTACAGCCATTTTGTTCTATGACCTTGGATGTTCTGGTTAGCTCAGGCTTATTCTCTCTACTCTGATGCCTGCTCTTCCAGTTGAGTGACCTTCTGAATGCTGGCTTAGACCAGTCTATACCTGTCAGCTCCAGAGCTGTGAGCCCTGCTCAGATGACAGGTAACTAGGTGACTTTGATCATCCCAGGGGAAACAAGTGAGTGAGCCATGTGGGGTCTTTAACCACACCTCCTTTCTTTCCACTTCTCTTTTCTGAAAGACCATCAAAAGACTAGTTATGCACATCTCAGGACAATAAAGGCCCAAAAATTGCTATGATAGATGTACCCACAGAGGCCGGCAAAAGCTCAGACTCTCAGAGCAGCCAACCTTCATCAAAGCACTCAGTGGTACTGGCCACAATCCAGAACTCCAGGCACAACGCGAAAAGACACAGCAAGTGAGCCAAGGGCATGTGGCCACAGGATTGTCCCCTGCACACTGATGGGGAATAGCATCAGGATAATACAGCAGCCATTCACAAAACGTTTGCTTGATTTGGGTAAACACTAATAAGTTAAAAGCAAATACCATGCATCAAACCTTTACTGTGGATCACACACTGTGCTGAATGATCACATAGACATTATCTTGCTTAATCATCAAACAGCTACTTAAAGTTAGAAGAATTATTATTTCTGTTTTACAGATGAGGAAACAGGTCAGGAGTTGTCAAAATTTGGTCTAAGGTCACATAGAGAATGGCAGACACAAGTGTCTCTGGAGCCCAGGCTTCTGGCCTCTGTTCTGTGGAATCTTTCATGGGGTTAAATGAGAGCCCACCAAAGCAGAGTGAGTTGAAATGAGCTGCCCTCTCTGACCTCCAAAGGCAGGTTAGTAAGTCCTTAGCAGAGTCACAGTTTAGCAAGAGAGTTCATTGCATAGGCAAAGTCAAAAGAAAAACAACAAACTAGAAAAAAAGTATTTTAATTACTCGTATTACAAAGTGATAATCTCTCTAATACATAAATCCATCTATATACGAACTAACAAACCAACAGAAAAATGAACAAAGGATATGAACAAAGCTCACAAAAATGTATACAAATGGCACTTAAACATATGAAAATTCAACCTCATTCAGTAAAGAAATGCAAATTAAAGCTATACTGGCCAAGCATGGTGGCTCACGCCTGTAATCCAGCACTTTGGGAGGCTGAGGTGGGCAGATCACGAGGTCAGGAGATGGAGACCATCCTGGCTAACACTGTGAAACCCCATTTCTACTAGAAAATACAAAAAAGTAGCTGGGCATGGTGGCATACACCTGTAGTGCCTGCTACTTGGGAGGCTGAGGCAGGAGAATTGCTTGAACCTGGGAGGCAGAGGTTGCAGTGAGTCGAGATCATGCCACTGCCCTCCAGCCTGGGTGACAGAGTAAGACTCTGTCTCAAAAAAAAGCTATACTAACATAGCTAACATAGCATTTGTCTCCTATAAACTTGACAAACGTGTGGGATGCCCTTAAACATGTACTATATTTGAAAAGAAGGAAAGTCAGTGATTTAAATATCTATCTTAAAAAATTATAAAAAGAAAGCAAACTAAGCCTAAAGAAAGTAGAAGGTAACAACAAAGATGTTGGAAACATAGATGCTTTGTGCTGCAAAGACAAATTAGCACTGAGACAAAGGATCTTTCAGCAACACAGTTTTACTTCCTGGACTGCAGGAAAGGTACTCTCGCCAGCCATCTTGCCATAGGAGTACAAAGAACAAAGGGAAACACACAAATTTATCCCTTATACATTTGGGGTCGTTCTTACTGCTGTGTCTGATCTCTGTTGGCTGGATCCAGACATCACAATCTAAACTAAAACCGATTGGCTAACTGAAAACTTTTCTAAATAGGCAAAAGCACTGGAGAACTGGGATATGCCTGTGAGCATGTCCAGCACAGATATCTTGGTTAAAATACAAGGACATAGAATGTTTTATATGCCTGTAAGCATGGCAAGTTTAACAGCTACATAGGATAGGGCTTAACAAAGTTGTTAGCACACTTATTCTTTAACAAGAAGGGAAACTTTAAAAAGGAACTTTTTTACTTCCCACAGAAGAGGATCCAACAAAATGAAAAATTGGTTTGTTAAAAATAACTACCAAAAATAATAACCCCTGGCAGGATTGATTAAGAAATAAGAGAGAGAGAAAGGGATAAGAAAGAGAGAGAACAAATTCAGTCCAGTATCAAAAATGAAAACAAAGATATCACTATAGATCCTGGAAACAAAGATATGGTATTTATGCAATAAATTTGAAAATGAGATGATATGGAAAAATTCCTGGAAAAGCACAATGATGCCAACACTGAAATAACACAGACATCAGAATTATCTGGCAAAGATTTTACAGCAGCCATGATTTTTGAAAAATTACTTCAGTAAAAACTTAGGAACACAATTAAAACAAAAGAAAAACATAGGAAGCCTCAGCAAAGACATAGAAGATATAAAGGACAAATGGAGATTTTAGAACTGCAAATTACAATCACTAAAATTAAAAGTCAGTGAATGGGCTCAACAGCAGAATGGAGGAGGCAGAGGAAAGAATTCATGAACTGGGAGACAGAAATTAACCAACCTGAAAAAGAAACACTAGATCAAAAACAAAACAAACTAGAACCATATAGAAACAGAACCTCAGCCAGGCGAGGTGGCTCACGCCTGTAATCCCAGCACTTTGGGAGGCCGAGACAGTTGGATTACAAGGTCAAGAGTTCACGACCAGCCTGGCCAAAATGCTGAAACCCCATCTCTAATAAAAATATAAAATTAGCCAGGTGTGGTGGCCGGTGCCTGTAATCCCAGCTACTCAGGAGGCTGAGGCAGGAGAGTGGCTTGAACCCAGGTGGCAGAGACTGCAGTGAGCCGAGATCACGCCACTGCACTCCAGCCTGGGTGACAGAGCAAGACTGTGTCTCAAAACAACAACAACAACAACAAGCAGAACCTCAGGGACCCGTGGAACTCTAACAAAACAGCTACCATTTGCGTCTTCAAAGTCCTAGAAGAGTAAGAGGAAGAAGACGGGGCTGCAAAAGTACTTGACATAATGGCTGAAAAGCTCCCAAATTTGGGAAGAGACATAAGTCTACAGATTCGAGAAGATGGACAAACCAAAGAGAATAAACCCAAGGAAATTTGTGTCTCAAGACACATAGTTATTAAACTTCTAAAAACGAAAGACAAAGAAAAAAACATTTAAAGCAGCCAGAGAATAACTCCTTATGTACAGGAGAAAAAACAAGTAGAATGACAAGTTTTCTCATCAGAAATCACAGGGGTTAGTAGGAATATATTTTAGATGATGAAAGTAAAAAGCTGTTAACCCAGAATCCCATATGAGGAGATCAAAGGTCACCTAGTGAGCATCAAACAGACTATCGGCGGGCAAAACTCCTTTTCTGGGGAATTCAGAAGTAAACTTCCCTAGTATCTAAAGTTGGCATCTGGTTTCAGGCCTGTTTCTTTTTTCTTTCTTTCCTTCCTTCCTTCCTTCCTTCCTTCCTTCCTTCCTTCCTTCCTTCCTTCCTTCCTTCCTTCCTTCCTTTCTTTCTTTTTCTTTCTTTCTCTCTCTCTCTCTCTCTCTCTCTCTCTCTTTCTTTCTTTCAATGGAGTCTCACTCTGTCATCCAGGCTGGAATGTAGCGGCATGATCTAGGCTCACTGCAACCTCCACCTCCTGGGTTCAAGATGTTCTCAGGCCTCAGCCTCCTGAATAGTTGGGACTACAGGTGTGTACCACCATGCCCGGCTACCTTTTGTATTTTTAATAGAGACAGGGTTTCACCATATTGGCCAAGCTGGTCTCGAACTCCTGACCTTGTGATCTGCCCTCTTCAGCCTCCCAAAGTGCTGGAATTGCAGCCATGAGCCACCATGTGCAGCCTCAGGCCTCTTTCAAAAAAATAAAATAAAATTCATAAATAACTAGAATTTCTATACATCTTCGGAATGCCATGCTGAAACTCACTGTGAAAACTTTGATGACATTATGGCACCAAAATGTTGACAAGTGTAATCGTTTACCATGACCCACATGGCTAATGTGATCCAAATTACCCTTAAGCTCCCCGCTTAAGATCCGTAAATACCATTAAGGAAAATCCACTGGGGTGTGCTCAGTCCTCTTTGGCAGAGGTGCCCTTTCTAATAAAAACTTCCCTGTCTGTCTAATAAAACTTCCCTTTGTTAACCCTTTACTGTGGTTGGTAAACTCTTCTTGCCAACCTGTGAGTTGACTACTTTTCAATGCCAGGACTCTGGCACCTCACCCAGCATCTTGGTGACCCGTACAGAGACTTTGTTGGGATTTCTCCCTTCTTTTCCCTCCCTGCTTCCCTTGATGGACTGGTTCTTTTTTGTTTGGTTGGTTTTTGTAGAGGCAGGGTTTTGCCATGTTGGTCAGGCTGGTCTCGAACTCTGGCCTCAAGTGAACTGTTCACCTTGGCTTTCCAAAGCGTTGGGATTATGGGCATGAGCCACCACACCCGGCCTGATGTTTTGGTTCTTAACTTTTAGGAACTGAAGGTCCCTGGCTGAGGCCACTCTTCAGTGGGGTTCTGAAGCCCTAGAGAAGGGATATCTGTCTGTCGCTGCCCTGAAGGGTGAGAAACTGGCCAGGGTTCTTTTCTGTTTTTAGACTGCCAGTGAAACAGCTTGAGTACTCTCTGGCAATTGAGGGCTTTCTGGCTGAGGGCACCCCTGGGTGTTACTTGAAGGCCAAGACAAAAGAGTGAATTCGATATTGCCCACCAGGGTAGCAAGTCCACTTTCACATTAACACTCTAAACGAACCTTGAAGTGAGCAGCAATCTCGACTCTGCACAGATACAGTCTACTGATCGTGGATCCCATTTTGGATCCAACTTCATGACAGGCTCTGCATCCCAAGTTATGGCAGAGTTCTGCTTCACATGAGGTTCAAGCTGACCACTCAAACAAGAGCATGCCTGGACTGGCCATCCAGACAAGGGCAGACCCTCTATTTGTGGTGGGACATCCCAAAGTGAAAAGGGAGGTCCAAATCCCTCAGGGATGCCTCGGAGATCTTATAGTCCCTCATCAAAACCCAACATGGATTTAATTCATTCTTCTATTCCATCTGACTCGCCCTTGGGTTACATTCCTAAAAAGCAGCCCGTGGCTCACGCCTGTAATCTCAGCACTTTGGGAGGCTGAGTCAGGCAAATCACAAGGTCAGGAGTTTGAGACCAGTCTGGCCAACATGTTGAAACCCTGTCTCTGCAAATACAAAAAAGTAGCCAGACATGGTGGCCGGTGCCTGTAATCCCAGCTACTCGGGAAACTGAAGTGGGAGAATTGCTTGTACCCAGAGGCAGAGATTGCAGTGAGCCAAGATCACACCACTGCACTCCAGCCCTGGTGATAGAGTAAGACTCCAACTCAAAAAAAAAGCTGTCCCATTTTGACCCACAAACTCTCAAAAAGAAGTGTATGATTTTCTTTTGTAAGTGTTCAATATAAGCTCCCCAATAAGTTAAATTGTCCTCTTAATGGGACCCTGGATTGGAATATTATTTTACAACTAGTCTCATTTAGCCAGAACCCCGGAAAGGATCCAGAAGTCCTTTAAGTCTTTTCGGCTTTATCCCCAAACCCAGAATTACATAATCTAGAAGAATGAATACATTCCTGGGCATATACACCCTACCAAGACTGAACCAGGAAGAAATCAAATCCCTGAATAGGCCAATAATAAGTTCTGGAATTGAGGCAGTAATAAAGAGCCTACCAAATGAGTTCATGTCTCATTTCTAATGTCTGATTTTTCATAACTTCGATCAAGTTGGGTTCATTTAGCCAGAATCCCTCTAAGTTTATTCAAGAATTTTGGGCTTTAACTATTACCTTTGACTTAATCTGGAAAAACATATTCATGGTATTAACTACTTGCTGTTCCCATGGGAAAAAAACTCATATGTATGGTCTTTAGCTCAGACTTGGGCAGATGAAGCTCATGCTTGTAATCCTCATGGGATGAGGCACCTCTTCTGGGCTGGCACAGCCAAAACCTCACCAACCTACCCACCAAGGGGGTCCTGCAGAACGAGGACAAGGGCAACGGCAAGGACAAGCACCTCTAACTCTTTTCCTGTTTTATGATCAAGCATCCTCTAGATGACTTTCAGAAGTCATCTTATTAGCTTCAAAAGTTTTTTACTGCCCAATATGCCAATTCTCCATTTTCCTCATGGGTATTGATGGAAAACGCCAATGAGGCTATTTCACACTGCCACTCCCTTGTAACATTGCATTATATATTATTTATTCCTTTGCCCACCCACTTCTTTTTAGTCCTGCCAGCCCAACCTGTTTCATTATTAGATTGTGACTTACAAAGTTACAAGCAATTTACAGCTAAGACCTCATCTTCTAGCAGCTGTATTAACTCATGCTTCACCAAAAGAGCCACTGCAGTCTATGGAAACTTACATTCTAAAACAAGTGCCATTTAAGGTTTGGGATGTTTTTATTCTTAGTCATTCAGTATCAGCTGCTCCCATCATCATTCAGCTTAAAACTCCCAGTAAGTTCCCCAAACCCTCCAATGCCCCTTGAAACTAGAAGCACATAAAGGGTTACAGCCCCTAGTAACAAAATGTTAAACCCATGGATTATTGTGTCCGTGAGACTCGCTTTGCTACACTCCCATTTTAGCTGTAAAGAAACCAGATGTCCTCTCTCCAGTCCGTGCCTCCAAGAGGACAAAGAAAAAGAATAACAGTCTCATCAAAAAGGGCCATGGCCACATGCAGCCTATTTGCTGCACAAACTGTGCCCGGTGTGTGCCCAAGGACAAGGCCATTAAGAAATTCGTCATCAGAAACATCATAGAGGCCTCAGCAGTCAAGGACATTTCTAAAGTGAGCATCTTCAATGCCTACGTGCTTTCCAAGCTGTGTGTGAAGCGACATGACTGTGCGAGTTGTGCAGTTCACAGCAAAGTAGTCAGGAATTGGTCTCATGAAACCCACAAGGACCAAACGCCCCCACCCTGATTTAGACCTGCGGGTGCTGCCCCAAGACCGCCACCAAAGCCCATGTAAGGAATGAAGTCCTTAAAGAGTGAAGGCAAATTATTTTCTGGAGAAAAATAAAATGGCCATTGTACTTTAAAAAAAAAAACAAAAAAACAGATGGCTCCTACTGACTACTCCAGGACCTTAGAATTATTAATGAAGCCATTGTTCCTCTTCATCCTATTGTCTCAAACTCTCACACTCTTTTTGGACAAATTCTCTCCCCCACACCCTGGTTTACTGTACTTGATATTAAAGATACCTTTTTCTGTATTCCTGTAGACCCAGATTGTTTGCTTTTGAATAGCAAGGCTCAGATAATCAACTGGCTCAACAGTTAACTGAGACAATTCTGTCCCAGGGATTCAGAGATAGCCCCCACCATTTTGGACAGGCCCTAGCTAGAAACCTGTCTACCCTGCAGCTTCTTCCAGATAGCAATCTACTTCAGTATGTGGATGGCCTACTAATCTGCAGTCCTAACAAGGCTGTTCTAGACCAAAATGCAGTATTGGTACTAAACAAACTTGCTGACTGTGGGTGCAAAGTATCTCCTTCTAAGGTGTAAATATTCATACAAAGCATTCAATTTTGGGGTCTTATTTTAACCTCCATACAAAGAGCCTCTCTAGCACTTGTAAAAATCTTATCTTAAATGTGACAACTCCAGGAACTAAATAACAGCTTCAGTCCTTTTGAGGTATGGTGAGATTTTACAGAATGAGGATTCCTTCCTTTGGATTAATAGCAAAACTGTTATATGAAGCCCTCAAGGGAACTGAGGAGCAACCCCTATCCTAGACTAATGATATGAAGCATGCTCCAAAAACACAGGCTGTAATCTCAGCCCCAGCCTTAGCCCAACCAGATCTGACTAGGCCTTTCCTTTTGTATGTATATGAATGAAGTGGAATAGTTTGGGGAGTGTTAGCCCAAGATCTAGGGCCCTCTAAGTGCCCTGTAGCATATTTTTCGAAAACTTTAGACCTAGTATCCCAGGAAGGTCACTCCCCCTCACCTCAGCCTAAGACCCTTAGCAACAGGGGCCCTCTTAGTCCAAGAAGCCTCAAAAATATATTACCTGACCCACCTGGGCTATTACGGCTTTGCAGCACTGCTAACAATTTTTTAACCCCTTTTCAAACTTCAACCCTATCCCATCTTAATAATTCTCTTCATTATGGTGATTGTACTCTGGGAACAATAGCTCATACCCAAATCACTGTCTTGAGTATAACTTCCAATTCAGAATTCCATTCTGGAAGCAAAAAGGCCCTAGGACTTACTGTGGCCAGAATTACAGGAACTGTTGCAACTCTCAGCCCTTTACTTATATGAAATCTCACACGGGAACTTACCACCTACCTGAAATAGCCTTGGCAAAAACTGGCACGAGTCCATCAGCACTAGAAAGTCTTCACTAGTGAGTACCAGCAGAAATGAGTTTAATAATAGACAAACTCAAGATTACCCCCAGCTGAACAAGGAGGAGTCGGTGCTGTCATTAAAAAAAATCTGTTACACCGACATTAATGTGTCTGGAGAAGTGGAAACTAAGGTCCAAGAAATTTTCAAACAAGCCAATGGCTATACACACTCTCCCAAAGTAACCAAGATTGGGCCAAAACCTCTACTGATTCATTTCCAAAAATCACTTGGCTTCTCCCATTCCTTGGACCTTTACTCCTTGTCATTCTTCTTTTGATATTTGGTCCCTGCCTTTTTAATGCTCTCATTAAGTCTATATATTCCAGATTACAACAATTTCACCCACAGATGACTATGCAATCCCAATACCGGCCTCTTGATGGAATCTGGTCTTCCCTACTCCTTCGTGAATGAGTTTTTCATGACCCTTAATTCCCTTCATGACAGAAAGCAAGAAAGGGAAAAACGCAACCTACACCTTCAACACCCCCTTCCAGTAGGGATTAGCCAGATGGACTCAATGCCCCTCTTCACTGTGGCATTTTCCCTTTCTTGAGACCTGAGTAGGCAGCAGGTAGACATGAGCGTGGGGGAATACAAAGAGTCAACGATTTGACCAAAATATTTGTCAGGGGAAAAAACAGGAGAGCAAAACTCACCGGGTGAGCATGTAGCAGTCCAAGAACTCCTTATCTGAGGAATTTAGAAGTAAAATGAAAGAAGCAAAAACCATCCAATGAGCATCAAACAGTCCATTGGGAGGCAAACTCCTTATCTAGGAAATTTAGGTAATTAAACTTCCCTAGTACCTAAAGTTGTCATCTGGTTCCAGGTCCCTTTCAAAAGAAAAAATTGTAAGTAAATGGAAATTCTATACATCTCCAGAATGCTATGTCAAAACTCATTGTGCAACCCTTGCTGACAATAGGGCACCAAAATGTCGACACTTGCAATCATTTATCATGACCTACGTGGCTAATATGGTCCAACTGCCTTTAAGCTCCCACCATAAGTCCATAAATGCTCCTAAGGAAGACCCAGCACGGTGTGCGCAGTCCTCTCTTGCTGAGGCGCCCCACTGCACTCTTCTGCAGTGTTCTTTCTTTGTAATAAACTTTTCGTTTTCAAACCGATACTGCTGTCGGTAAATCCTTCTTAACAACCCGCAAGTTAACCACTTCCTGATGCAGGGGCTCTGATACCTCACTCAGCACAAATCTTCTGAAAAAAAAAAAGTGGGGGGGATTAGAGGAAGTTCTCTAAACAGAAAGGAAACAATAATAGATGAACCTCTGGAGCACGGGGAAGGAAGAGCCCAGTAAGTAAAAATACGGGTGAATACAATGGGCCCTCCTTCTCTTGAGATTTCTAAATTGTGTGTGACAGTTAAAGCAAAACTTAAACACTGCCTAATGTGGCTCTAAATGTACGTAGAGGAAATATATAAAACAATTTCAAACAAAGGGAGATAAAGGAACATGAAAGGAAGTGAGCTTCTATACCTCACTTGAAGTGGTGCCACAAGGAGACCAGTAGACTGGGATACATTTTATACATACATATGTATATAATAAAACACCTATAGCAGCCACTTAAAAAACCATACAGAGATACACTTGAAAACATTGTGAATAAATCAAAATTGAATTCTTAATAGAATGTCCAAGAAACCCACAGTGAGGCAGGAAAAAGAAAAAAAAACAAAGAACATAAATTGGTATAGTGGATTTTAAAACCTGATACAACTATATGCAGTCTATAAGAAACTAATTTCAAATATAATTACATAGGCACGTTGACTATAAAATGATGAAAAAAGAGAAATCGGGCTGGGCGCGGTGGCTCACGCCTGAAATCCCAGCACTTTGGGAGGCCGAGGCGGGTGGATCACGAGGTCAAGAGATCCAGACCATCCTGGTCAACATGGTAAAACCCCGTCTCTACTAAAAATACAAAAAATTAGCTGGGCATGGTGGCGCGTGCCTGTAATCCCAGCTACTCAGGAGGCTGAGGCAGGAGAATTGCCTGAACCCAGGAGGCGGAGGTTGCGGTGAGCCGAGATCGCGCCATTACACTCCAGCCTGGGTAACAAGAGCGAAACTCCGTCTCAAAAAAAAAAAAAAAAAAAAAAAAAAAGAGAGAGAAATCATGCGATCATTAACGAGAGGAAGGGAGTGACTAAATTGGCCTCAGATAAAATAGACTTCAGAGTAATGAAAATGACAGAAACACAGTGGATATTATATAATAATAAAAGTACCGGGAAGCAGCCTGAGAATGAAGAGTGAGATATACCATGCATTGTCTCAGAAAGAGGCAAAAGACTCAGATGTCCAGCATCTACAGGTGCAAAGCTGAAGCAGACAGACTTTCTGCCAACATACCTCTTCAGGAGCACAGAGGGCCTTCCTGAAGCACAGCACACCTCGCATGGGCCCGCAGGCCAGCAAGGACCAGCTGCAGCGCAGGGCTGAGGTCCTGGAGTACTTCACCCGCCACAAGTGCAAGGAGAGGAAGAAGAAAGCCAAAGCCATCTCTGCCAGGCAAAGGAGGGAGCTGCGGCTCTTTGACATTAAACCAGAGCAACAGAGATACGGTCTTTTTCTCCCTCTCCATGAACTGTGGAAACAGTATGTCAGGGACCTGTGCAATGGGCTTAAGCCAGACACGCAGCCACAGATAATTCAGGCCAAGCTGTTAAAGGCAGATCTTCACAGGGCTATTATTTCAGTGACAAAATCTAAATGCCTCTCTTATGTGGGTATTACAGAATCCTACAAGAAACAAAACACATTTTCAAAATTATCACCAAAGAAGACCACCTGAAATTTATCCCCAAGTTAAATAAACTGTGTGTTCACTGCAGAAATCGATGGCTTTACTTCCTACATTTATGGGAGCAAATTCCAGCGTCGGTCAAGCGAACAGTCTGCAAAGAAGTTCAAAGAGAAGGGAACGATTGACCTGTGAATGCTTTGCCACCTAAGGCAGCTGCTTATGACAGCTGAAAACTGAAACTCCCTCAATGCCCACCTTTCAGTGAAGAGATGGCTAAGCCAGCGCCGGTTATAGACCACCTCCAGCCAGTGGAGCTCCGGGTTGAAGATGTTGAGGAATATGGGAAGGTGGCAGTGTACTGAGTGAAGTCAGGGGACGGAGCAATTTCTCTTTCTAGGAGATCTTAATTGTGTATGACTCCCATAGAGAGGAACAGACTGACAGGAAACACACCAGGGTTAACACTGGTTCACTTCAATTTAAAAATTCTTTTTCATGAAAAAAAAATAATAAAAGTGCCAATCTATCAAGAAGATCCAGCAATCCTAAATGTATGTGCACTGAACAGCAACGTCATAAAATGTGTGAAGAAACCGGCAGAACTGAAAAGAGAAATAGACAAATCCACAATTATAGTTGGAAGCTTCAATAACCCTCTCTCAACAATTGGTAGAACTACACAAAAAATTAGCAAGAATGCGTAAGAACCCAATAACACTATCAACCAACAGACTTTAATATTTATAGACCCCTTCACACAACAACAGCAGAATACACCTTCTTTTCAAGTGCCCCATAGAATGTTCACCAACACAGACCACATCCTGAGCCATAAAACAAACCGCAACACATTTAAAGAATTAGAATAATGTAGAGTATCTTCCCCAAACGCAATTGAATCAATCTTGAAACAAGTAGCATAAAGACAACAGGGCGGTGGGCATGGTGGCTCATGTCTGTAATTCCAGCACTTTGGGAGGCCAAGGTGGGTGGATCACTTGAGCTCAGGAATTCAACGCCAGCCTGGGCAATATGGCAAGACCCCATCTCTACCAAAAATACAAAAATTACCCAGGTAAGGTTGTGTACATCTGTAGTCCCAGCTACTCAGGAAGCCAAGGTGAGAGGATCACTTGAGCCTGGGAGGTCAAGGCTGCGGTTATCGGTAATTCTACCACGAAACTAGGTAACAGAATGAGACCCTGTCTCATTTTAAAAAAATAAATAAATAAAAATGATAACAGGGAAATCGCCAAACATTTGGAAATTAATAACATGCTTCTAAAAATAATCCATGGATCAAAGAGGAAGTTTCTAGGGAAATTTTAAAAATACATTGTAACTGAATGAAAATGAAGACATACCACATCAAGATTTGTGGGCGACTGCTAAATTACACTGGGAGGAACGTTTATAGATAGCACTAACGTATATATTAGAAAAGAGAAAAAATGTTCAACTAATAATCTAAGCACCCACCTCACAAACCTAGAAAAAGCAGTGCAAAATAAACCCAAAACAAGTAGAACAATGACATAATGTAGATAAGAGCAGAAATTCATGAAACTGAAAACAGAAAAAAATAGGAAAAGCATCAATAAAACAAAGAGCTGGTTCTTTGAAAACATCAATAAAATTGACAAACTTCCATCTGGAAAGACTGGCAAAAAAGAGAAAGAAATCACAAATTAACAGTATCAGGAATGAAATAAAGATGTCACTACATAGTCTACAGTTATCAAAAGGATAATAAGAGAATATTACAAAACAAGTCTACACAAATTTTACAATATAAGAGAAATTGACCAACTCCTTGAAAAACAAACACATTACAACTCGCCCATTTTGAAATAGATCACTTGAATAGTCCCATAACTGTTAAGAAAATTGAATTTTCAATTTTAAAAACACCAAAACAAAATACATTTCAAGGCCCAGGTAGTTTCACTGGAGAAATCCAGCGAATATTTAAAGAAGAATTAACACCAATGTGACCCAATCTCTTCCAGAAAATAGAAAAGGAGGTAACATTTCCTAATTCATTTTATGAAATTAGTATAACCCTGTTACCCAAACCAGAGAAAGACAGTACAAACAATGAAGCTACAGACCAATATCCATCATAAATATAGGTGCAATAATCCTTAACAAAATATTTTCAAGTAGAATTCAGCAATATATAAGAAGAATTGTATATCATGACCAAGAGATGCTTATTCCAGGGATACAAGGCTGGTTCAATATTTGAGAAATCAATGTGATCCACCATAATGACAAGCAAAAGAAGAAAAATCACGTGATCATATTAGCTGATGCAATTTGATAAAATTCAACACCCATTTATGAAAAAAACACTCAGAAAAAATAGGAATAGAAAAGGACTTCTTTAACATAAAAAACCTACAGCTGACCTGCAGCTGATATTACATTTAATGGTTAAAGACTCTGCATCTACTTCCTAAGATTAGGAACAAGGTAAGGATGTCCACCGTTACCACTATTATTCGACTTAGTATTGGAGAGTCTAGGCAGTGCAATAAGTTAAGAAAAGGCATATATATGGGAAAGGAAGAAAGGAAGAAAGGAAGAAAGGAAGAAAAGAAAGAAAGAAAGAAAGAAAGAAAGAAAGAAAGAAAGAAAGAAAGAAAGAAAGAAAGAAAGAAGAAAGGAAGGAAGGAAGGAAGGAAGGAAGGAAAGAAGGAAGGAAGGAAGGAAGGAAGGAAGAAAACTTTCCCCATTTGCAGGTGATATTATTATCTATGTAGAAAATTCCAAGGAATCTACAACATATCTTCAGAAACTAATAAGTAAGTTCAGCAAGGTTGCAGGATACAAACTTTCAAACAAAAATTAATAGTGTTTCTATATACTAGTAATCCACATCTGGACACTAAAATTTAAAATATAATGCCATTTACAGTTCCTTTTAAAAAAAACTGAAATACGTGAAAATCTAACAAAATGTGTTCAGAGATTTTATGCTGAAAACTATAGAAATCTGATAAAAGTAATCAAAGAAGATATAAATAAATAGAGAGACATACCATGTTCATGAATTGGATGACTCAACATGGTAAAGATATCCATCCTCCCCAAATAGATACAGAAGTTTAACTTGATTCCTATAAGAATCTGAATAAAAGTGTTTGTAGATATCAATAAGATTATTCTAAAATTTGTATGGAAAGGCAAAGGAACTAGAATACCCAACAAAATCTTAAAAAACAAAGCTGGAAGTCTTATACCCCTAAACATCAAGATGTATTTAAAGCTACAGTAACATAGTATAGTGTTGGTGCAATGGTAGACAGAAAGTCCACAGACAGGCCCACATACATATGGAGACTTGAATTTTAGTAAAGATGGCACTGTAGGGATAAGGACAATGTTTTAAGTAATGGTACTGGGTCGAATGGATATTTATATGGAAAAAAATATAAATTTTGACCCCTCTCTTACACCAAACACAAAAATCCATTCCATATTGATTATAGATCTAAATGTGAACTGCAAAACAGTAAATCTTTAGAAAATAATAAAGTAAAATTATCTTCATAACTTTGGGTAGGCAAAGATCTCTTAAGACACAAAACCCACTAACCATTAATGTAGGACAAGATTGATAAATTGGTTTATGTAAAAATTAGAAATTCTCTTTATCAAAAACTGCATTTAGACATAGACAAGCACGACACAAAGGAGAGAATATGTTTGCAACACATATAACTAAAGATTTCTCTGATCATTAACTTCCCCATGTATAGGATTATGTGAGGTAATAGATCTAAGAGGTTGGGACAGTGCCTGGCACATAGAAAGTATTCCATAAAGTTTATATCACTTCTGTTAAAACCGAGTCATCCAGAACCGAGTCATCCAGGCCGAGAAATGTACCTCAAATCACTCCCAAAGCAACAGATCTCTCTCCGGTTTTTGACACTCTACAAAGAAAGAAGTCAGAAGGGTTTCCTCTGCTCTTCTTTTGCAATCATGTTGAAGACGTATCCTGAGGAACCCTTTCATCCCTCACAGCTGCAATCCCTATGCAGACTGCCATGTTCAATTGTAAATAACATAGTTGAAGCATTACAGGGCTCCAGTGGGGAGGATGAGAGTGGGTTTTCATCTTAGCTGAGTCAGCTCAGGTGGTGGGAAATGCCCCAGGAGTGCTGAAAGCAGGAGGGAGGAGTGGCTTGTCACGGGGAAGAAAGCCTCTCTTCTCCCAAATGCAATATCATCTATCTTCACAGCCGCCAGGATACCCAGAAGTATGGAAGAGGGGGGTTTCAGGATGATTTCAAAAAAGTCACCTCGTTCCTGCAAAGACAGGCCCAGAAAAAGCCAGAGCTTAAGACAGGAAACATCCTGACCTGAAGAAAGATGGGTGGGCACTTGGAGTAGGCCAAGACCAGAGGCCAGCCTTCAGGAGGCCACCACAGTGGTATGAATCCCCACCCCTTAGCTGGGAGGGGCAGAACTGGGAAAGGCCCACTCCATCATTCCGAGGGACAGCACACGGCGCTGTCTGCAAGCCTTCCCATAGTTTATGCAGCCTGTCTCTACCCCTCCTGCTTCTGATCAAGTTATAGCCCTGTAGGCCAAGGACTATCCTTACCCCCATTTTACATTTACAGGTGCCCAAGTTGAGCCTCAGAGAAGTAAAGTGAACTACCCAAGATAGTTCTCAGACAAAGGACTCATCCCACTACCTCCATCAAGTTACCCATAATAATGATTGTTCTTATCCTTTTTGAGCATTTCTTGTGTGCCAGACATATGACTAAGGGCTTCACCTCCATTAGTTTGTCTTCAGAACAACCACAGAAGTAGGTGAGAATATCCCATTTTATAGACCCAGAGACAGCAATGATAGTAGAAAATTATATTTGGGGGCAGACACTGTTTGAAACACTTTAATGTGTATCAACTCATTTAATGTTCTCAAACATCCTTTGAGAGTAAGTGCGGCATCATCTCCATTTTAGAGATACGGGAACTACGGCTCAGAGAAGGCAGGCGCATTGTCTGAGGCCACACAACTAGGAAGTAGCAGAACGGGGGCTTGAGGCAAGGATTCTTACCACTATTTTTTCATCTGTGGCAGTCTAGGTGACTTACTTAAGGTAACATGTCTATGTGATGTTGGAATCTGATTAGAACACCTGTCCAAATGAAAGCCCAGAATCTTCCCACCCAGCTATCATGCGGAGAGTGGCTGGAGGGACCCTCTAGGTAATGTGGGCTGTCTCCGTCTCTCCTTCTAGGAGCCAACCCCCTGAGAATGAGTCCCCAGAACCAGAATGCATGGAAGCCGTGTGGTGGGGGCAGGCCAGGTGGGACTGACAAAGCTGGGACACAGGCCACCAACACCATCTGCCAGCTTTCGATGCTCTGTCTGCTGCTCGCTGGCTAAAACCAGCCCCAGACTCTCCTTCTCTCCCTTTGTCCCCATTGAAAGTGAATAGGAGGCAGCGGGGAAGCCAGGAGGGACAGAAGGTCCTCAGCCCTTGTTTGCCTTTCCAGGAGGGGGAAAGAGGAGACAGGTGGGGGTGTGGTAGAGGGGTGCTGGGCAGAGGTTCTGGAGTTGTGGGAACCGGGTAACCTAGCAACCACTGGGCTCAATGTCACAAAGCAGGCAGACCTGCCCATAGAACCCACAGCCTTCCCTCGATTTGTCTTCTTGCTCCTCCCTGCTGGGGCTGCAGGGCTTCTCGTGCACATGCTGTAGTGAGCACCGCCTTGGTGAGTCCAGGGACTTCTCAGGAGAGGAAATGGACACTGAAGAGCCCAGAAGGGCAGAGGTAGAAAGGGAAGTTCTCTAGGAGGATTGGTGGGAGCCTTCAGACCCCTCTGCCTCGCTGGCTGGGAGCCCGGGGACACAGAGCAGGGGCAGGGCAGGGCAGACTACATTGGGGTCCCATCTGTCCCACTCTGGACAAGGTAGACTTGGCCTACTAGAGTCCCTCCCTGTCGACCTCTCTACAGCCACTGTGGGTTATGACCCCTGGTGGTTTCTTAGATCAATTTAATGGATCAGTCTAACATTTAAGAAATAAAAAACAAAAATAGGGTAAAAATATCAATGGGCATCACATGTAGTATTAAAAGGTAAGTATTGCTTAGGATATTCTTAGGATATGTTTCATTTCACATACACACACAGACACCTGTGTGTAAACTGGGTCATGACATAAAAAAGAATTTTTTACTGTCATCACAGCCAAACGTATTTGCAAGTCTCTGCTCTAAAGAGTACTTTTTCCTATAGGCAGGAGGATTTGGGGCTTCCAGATACCCTGTTCTCAAGATTGTAGCATCTAAGTACTCTAGAGCCCAGTGCCTGACATCAAGGATGTCTGGAGCTTCCTTTTAAAGAGAGAAGATCAGCAAACTGTGCTTCAGATTGGTCTGGACTCTGACCCCTTTATGTGTGATCTTAGCAAGTCTCCCCTGCTTCCCTGATCTCAGACACCAACCCATCCTACCCTTACCTGATGAAGGCTGGCGTTGGGAGCTCTCTGGGGTCCCTTGGCAGATTCTGTGACTCTGAGGGTTAATTTTCAGAATGCACTGATGTCCCATCCCAACCCCATCCCTGGCACTTTGGCTGAATATATATATATATTCTTTTTCAGGTCCATAGATTTCATCACAATTCTTGGTTTTGACACCTATCATCTTTCATCTATGTCATTTCATTAATTTATTTAATAATACAATAAGCACAGAAAATGCACCACCCAAACCAAGAACTAGAACATCACCACTGACACATCTCCTTACATGCCCTTTTCCTGCACACCCCTCTTCCGGCCCTTCCTCCGAAACAGCCACTATGTGAATTTCGTGGTCAGCATTTCCTTGCTTGATGCTGTTGTTGCTGTTTTGTCACATGTTCATGATCATTTTGCTTGCTTTTAAACTTTTATGTTTAGAAAGGATCTCAGGCTATGTGGTCTTCTGGAACTTGGGGTCCTCTGGAACACATAACCTAAACCATTTATGAAAGAGAAATAATATGTTTATAAACACAACATTTATACAGTTTAGTAGTTACTTCATGTTATATTATCCACACCTTATGTATAGTGGATGACAACAATTGTATTGTTTCAAATGCATATGTCTTGTTATACCATAACCTATTTAATAATAATAAAAAGCAAATTGAGTTAATAAGATTGCATAAATATAACATCCCATAGCCAAGAATTGTAAGATTTCTCACACTGATTATAAGATTCATCCATGTTGTTACACAAAGCAATAAAATATTCCATTGTATGAATGTACCACAGCTTACTTGTTTTCTGCCACCAAACATTTGGGTTGGCACCATGTTTTTGCTGTTTTGAACAGTGTTTCTATGAATATTCTTATAAGTAGCCCCTGTTGCACATCTGTGAGAATTTCTCTTCTATCTGGGAAAGAAATTGCTGGGTGATACAGCATGCAAATATTTGATTTTATGAGACGTTACCATTTCTCCCCTGAAGTGTCTGTTCCCATTTACACTTCTACCACCAGTTCGTGAGAGTTCCTGTCCTCCATCTTCAACACTATATTAAGTGCACTGGCCTTTAGTCTGCTGGAAAGCATAAGATGGCTACAGATGTTCAATTGGCTGAACATCCACTGATGAGGTGAGGCTCCAAATGCCCACCCTGCTGATGGAGGAGGGCTTAGGGTAGGGCAGGGTAGAAGACAAAGGTGGCCTTGGGGGAACTCAGCAGATTAGGAGTCCAAGAGAATCATTCTTCCTGGACTTCCACTGACTGTCAGCCAGACCCCCAACAGGTCCTCAGGCCCAAGTTAGCCCAGGTTATGGGTTGTGCCCGTCCTGGGCAGGGAAAAGTCCTGAGCAGGTGCCAGAAGCACTGAGCACAGGAGTTCCGGTGATTCTCAGGAGGTGATTTCCTCTGTTACTTGGGGGTAGAAGAAGACAGTTCACTGCGACTTTCAGAGAAGGTCTGCTTTATTTCTTTAAGCCTCAGATCCCTTAGAGGCAAGTGGAGAATGGAAAAGGAAACTCAGGGGCTGGGTCAGCAGAGTCCTCAAAGGGTCCAGGGGCAGCACGCCTTGCTTAGCATACCCAGAGTCCATCGGTACTCCAAAAGGATGCCCTTCAGCCAGGGCCATCGGGAGGAGGGCATGCAGACAGCCATCAGGCAGGTGATCCCAGCAGGCCCCAGGTGGGGAATAGCCCACTTTTGCTGATCTTGACCTTCCTCCAAGAGCAGAGGCACAGCGTCCTCAGGAAGGGAAGGGGTGTGGGGTAGAAGACAGAAAACCCGAGCCAGCTTGTCTCCAGCAAAGCAGAACAGAGCTTGAAGCTTCCCTGCAGAGTCACAGCCCCAGTAGTTGCTGCATCAGCTCTTCCTCTCCTAGGAGGGACCCCTATGGGAACAGGACTTGCTTGTCCGGTCTGGCCCAAGCTCCAGCTGTGGCCTCCAGACGCTGAGTCTGGGCCAAGTGCATTGGGGGAGGATGACAGCTTATAGCTGGCCTCTGGACTATCCACAGTCTGGCTTGGGGAGAGGCCCTTGCTGGGGCCCGCCCCATCCCTGGGGATGTATATAAGGTGACTTTGCTCCATTCTGGGTATTTTGATGAGTAGGTGAGCCTGCAGCTTCTTTTTCTGGTTTTAGATATGGTCTCTGGGAAAAAACTGGGGTGTTGGGAGAGTCTGAGTTCCCTCAAGTGGATGCTGGCTCCCTGATAAGAAACGCTAACCAGGACTGGATTGCAGCCATTGGGAAAGGACTCTGGGGGAGGCCTAGCTTTTGGTGCTATGTGGGTGGTGGTGAAAGGCAGGAAACCAGATTTCAGAGTTCCTCGGGAATGGGCTCCACGATAAGCACTGAGCTCTGAGCCTAGGTGGACCCCACTAGCAGAGGAGGCTCCATTAGCTTCTCCTGAAACCCTCTCCTTCAGTCCAAAGGCTGAGCTGAAACCTGAGAAGTCAGGGCACAAGCCAAGGAGCTACGGGGGCAGCGGGCCACAGAAAAAACTAGTGATCCCAGGGGTTGTGGATTTCGAGCGGATCCGCCAGGCATTGAGGACCCCCAAGCCCCAAACCCCTGGCACCTACCGCTTTGGACGCCTCAGTCACAACTTCTTCTTCTCCCGGCACCACCCACACCCCCAGCGTGTGACCCACATCCAAGGTACGGCTTGGCTGGTCAGGTGGGAGTAGAGGGAGTATCACAATTGATCTTGAGAACTGGGAAGGAAGAATTTACGGCAGCCTTTTTCCAGGCTGGGACCCAGAGAGGATGGGGGCCTAGCAAGGATCCCAGAACTGCCAAGCACCCAAGCCAGGACTGCACCTTGATGGGCAGGAGAGCAGCAAAGGCTCCAAGGGTGGGCGGCAGGTTCCCTGCAGGACTCCCCTGACTGCTGGGTTCTCCCATTTTACAAATCAGAGAAAGGGGTAAGTTCCGTCCCGGAGCGGAGCTCTGTTCTCTGACTTAGGCCTCATCAGCCACTCAGCTGTCCAGCCAGCCACAAATGTTTATTGACCATGAAGTATGGGTCAGGCACTTTCGTAGGCCTTGGGGATACAACAGTGAGCAGGACAGACATAGTGGCCGCCTTCCTGGAGCTGACCTCCAGTGGGGAGGGATGGGAGATAGGGAAGGTGTCAAGTGCCCAGGCTGCGGTGGGAAGATTGCTATTTTTCAAAGGTGGTCACAGAAGACATGGCAATTAACATGACATTTGAGCAAAGAACTACATAGGAACTGTGCACACAGCATGGGGAAGGATGTCTCAGGCAGATAGATCAGCAAATACAAAGGCCGGAAGGCAAGAGTGCTCCCACTCTGTTGGAGGAGCAGCAAGGAAGCGGAAGCTGGTCTCGTTGGAGAAAGGTAGGAGGGGGAGAATGGAGAAGGTGTCAGGGAGACAGTGGGCCCAGATCACCTAGGCATTTGGGCCACTATTGTCACCATTAAGCCACCTCCCTGAGTCCACTGGAGCCCTTGGAAGGTTGAGAGCACAGAAATGACAAATTTTAGCAAGGTCATCCTGGCCTCATTGTGGCTTAGAGCAGGGACCAAGCCTGCTCCAAGAAATGGAAGACTCTGTGGCTCTATTCTGGAGATATATAGAAAGTAAAGCCAATAGGACTCAGTGATTGATTAAAAAGGGAGTGTGAAAGGAAGAGTCCAGGCTGACTGAGAGTGTCGGCCTGAGCACCTGGAGAAACTGGAGTGCATGGACGGAGACAGGGAAATCCGCAGAAGGGCCAGAGCAGGCTGAGAGGAGTCAGAGGTTTGGTCTTGGATGTGGGGCATAGGTGACATGAGATGCTTTCTAGACCTTCAAGTGGAGGTACAGAGTGTCCAGTCAGATCTGGAGTTCAGGGCAGAGACACAGGCATGAGAGCCATTTGAGAGGGGGTGTTTCAAGTGGCAGGACTGGGTGGGATCATCAAGCAGTCCATGTAGGTACAGGAGATGAAAACCTGGGGATGGGTCCCTGGGGACCCTGAGATTAAGAGGTTGAGAAGATGAGAAGTCGGCAGGAGGAGATGAGGAGTGGTAGTGAGCCAGGACAAGAGCAAGGGGTCCTGGCACCAAAAGGAAAGTGTTTCAGGGGGTAGAGAGCAGCCCTGCTAAGTCCTCACCAGGCCGGGTCTCAAGCCTCCCTATCGATAGTGATGTAATAATCACCTAGGGTTAGCAAGAAGGGTCTTCACATGTAAACAGCCCCCACCACCTCCAGGCTGCCCTGCATGCAGCCTTGCACAAGCTGACTGATAGCAAAAGTTTTCTGCAGAGGGTGTGGCTCCATTTCTCTCCCTGTGATGTGAGCCTGGGCCTCTCTCATCACAAACCGTGACTTCACGCCCTCACCCCAGCATCCTCATCTTTCAGCTGCCTACCTACCCTGTGTAGCAATTTGTTGCCCTGTCATAGGAAATCAGAAGGTCCTCGGTACTAGGGGCCCAGGAAGCCTAGGTTCTTATCTCACTTCTACCCAACTCACAGTGTAGCCCTGAGCAGTCCCCTCCCCTGTCCATTCTAAGGTTCCCCCGTTGGTGCGGTGGTCTCTGGTCTGGGTGGTTGCAAGGCTTCCCAGCTCTGATGATCCATCAGCTTGTGGTTACTGAAAGAGGAGGAGCCAGAATCACCCTGCCCTTCAGCCTCTTCCCAGCCTCCTGGAGCTCTTAAGGTCCACCTAAGCCTCCCTTCCCACAGCCTCTAACCCTCTGCAGATTTCACCGGGAAGCCTGTCTGTGTCATCAGGGACAAATTCTCTCCAGCCATCTTGCCTGAGTCCACTGTCTTTTCCGGCTGTCAGATGGGGATGCCCACCATCTCTGTCCCCATTGGAGACCCACAGGCTAACCAGAACCCCCGGCTTTCTTCTGGTGGGTACTTGGGACATACCTCCCTCTCTCCTGGGGCTCAGGTCTCTCCCCAAGGGCTGCCTCACTTGGGTGGGTGCCCAGAAGGAAAGGGCCATCACCCTTAGGTCAGTGAGGTCCATGGGGGAACCCCACTTTTTCTCTCATTTCCTTGGACAGCCTCATCTCTGCATTGCTCCCCACCCTGCGAATCCTAGCCAGCAGGAATGCAGCCCTGCTTGGATTTGAGGTGCTTGAGAAGCAGTAACACACAGAGGCAAGCAGATGTTGAGCCTGCAGTCATGTGACTTGGCAGCTATTGGCCGGAATGCTACAGGAAATATTTAGTAGCTTGGTATTCAGGCATTGGCCAACCAGAACAATCAGCCACAGTGCTGGTGCAGCGCTCTGGGGGCCTCTGCTCTGCCAAGCCTGACCATTTCCATGACTGAGGTGCTGGAAGTCAGTTTGGTGGGGACAGGGCAGAGATCCTGGAGAAGGGGCTGGAGTTGCTGGTGCAGGGCAGAGAGACTTGGAAGGCTGGCTATGTCTCTCTTTGCCACCCTCTCTGGGGAGTAGTTTGATTTCTTAATAACAGGCCCGTCCGTATCTCCTCAGCTTCAGTCTTGGTCTTAGGGACCTAAAAGGGGCAAAGCTAGATTAAACCATGTGCATCTTGGCATAGGTAGTCAGTTGTTCTCTAGCATCTCCTAGAAATGCCACAGGCTAGGACGTCCACATCAGCACCTGCTAGAAGGAAAGCAGACCCCATCTCCCACACCCCACCCACTGCCACAACCACAACTCATGTTGTGAATCCAGATCCTTCTCCCTCCAGGGCACCACCTCCCCCTTTCCCTTTGAGATCCAGGCAGGGAGGCCAGGAAGGATAGCAGACTCCCCTACCAAGGTCTGGTGGTACAGGGAGGGGAGGAGGGCCTCTGACTTCAGTTGGCAGGACCTTGTCTTCTCCCAGAAGCCTGGAAGAGAGAGTTGAAGGAGCTGGCTTCCCACGTGGCCTTCTTCACCAAAGAGGATGAGCTGAAGAAGAAAGAGGTGGGTGCGGAACACAGGAGCTAGTCTGGGAAGAGGTGAAACAGATCAACCCTGTGTGAGGAGATCCCTCCTGAGTCAGTTCAGCCTAGGCCAGGTTGTTGGGGGTACTGATTAATACAAACATCAGGGGAAAGGTCACAGGAGGGAGACAGCACACCAAGGTGGGAAAACGCAAGCAGGTGTTTTAGGACAGGTGGCACTCGGGGGCCTTGGTTGTCTAAGTGAGTTGTTCACAAGGGGAGTGGGGAGTTCTGAGCAGACACACCCAGCACAGCAGATGCAAAGCTGGCAAAGGCAGGGCACCATCAGAGACTGGACTATAAGTGGGCAGCAATGGGGAAGGTGTGAGGGGGCCGACTGAATGTGGAAAGGAGCAGCTTGTTCTTAATCTCCAAAGCTTTTAGTGTCTAATCACATAAGGAGCAGAGAATCTCAAAGGTTTTCAAACATGATGGGGGTGACCCCATGGGTGCCATTTGGTGATAAAACAGTAAAGTCACCTGAGAGACAGCAAGAAGGTAACTGGAACTGCTCTTAGGACAGTCTCTGCTCCTGTCCCTTGTCTCAGGCAACCAGAGTGGGCAGGCAGAAGCCTGGCATCTCATTCCTGCTCACAGCTAACTCAGTGCAGCACTCAGGACAACTCAGCTAAGCTGTCTAGGTCTCAGTTTTTCTATCTTTAAAATGGGGAGAAGGATACTACCAGTCTTAACTGGAATTACAAGGGCAGGAGACCCCAGGCCTCTCTGGGACAGACCTGGGGGCAGCTGAGCTGGGAATTAAGGTAGGCGGTGGGCCCTTGGTGCAGGATGCTCTTTTCAGATCTCTGATGGCTGTGGGAGGGGCAGCAGGGAGGACCTACCCGGGAGGAAGAATGAGAACCAGCTGCATCCAGCGATCCACCCTCCGTTACTGAGTTCCAGGAGGAAGAGCTTTTGCTAGTTTAAGCATGAGAGCTGATAGTGGGAGGGCTGGCTGCTGGAGAGAGGGCTGGGGATGCCCAAAGAGGGGTCTAGGGCAGGTGGGGGTGGGGGCACCTGCCAGAGACCCTAAGACCCTGGCAACACTGTGCTGCTGGGATTTGGGGGGCACAGTGCCCTGGAATTGTAACCCAGCCTCCTCCTCCTCTCCTCCCCTCGGCCCTCTTTTTTTCTTGCGGACTACCTGGAGTCTCTGGCCACTTTTGTCCCAGCAGAAGGAGGAGCCTCCGCGGGAGCACGGGGCAAAGTACTCAGCGGAGACTGGGAGGCTCATTCCCGCTTCCACCCGGGCTGTCAGCCGCCACAGCTCCCACCAGAGCCAGGGGAGCCAGTCTTCGAGCAGAGATGAAGGAGTCAGAGCCTTCCTCCTGCAGGATCAGGAGCTGCTGGTGAGGCCCCAGTTCTGCTCCTAGGCTCCTGGCTCTCCAAATCAGGAGTCTTACAAACCACTTTAGGGCAAGGCCCCTCTCGGGGATACTGGCTCCTAGGACTGTTAAGACCAGAAAACTCCAGCCCTGGGGAGTCAGCAGCCGGGGCTATGAACCCCCTGCCTCTAGCTTCCATGTGAGTCCTCTCCCCTCTTTGGGCCATGGTTCCATGATCTATCCACTGGAAGCATGAATGCCTTGTCATCCAGGGTCCCTTCCAGCTGTGGCATTTGATGGGTTAGTGAAGGGAGCTGCAATGGTGGGCGAAGAAGGAGTTCCTGCCCACCCCAGCAGGCCGCACCCCACAGCCTGCATGTTTAGGCCCAGCCTGGTGTGCACACTCAGAGAGGGACCTGGCCTGTGTTTCAATGAGTGCAGAGCCTGCCTCCTCTATGCTCACATTTCCCCTTTGAGGCCTGAGATGAGTCCATGCCTCATCCCCATGGGTTAAGGTATCGGGGGTCCCTGTGAAAATGCACGATGTCCTCCAAGAAGGGCCAGAGGTGGAGCTAGCATCCAGCCACCTTCCTTGTGACCAGCGCTGCCAGGTACATACTCCCACTGAAACCTTGCCACAGTGGAGCAAAGTGGATAGGGCAGATAGGGCCTGGCACCGCCATGCCACGGATGGGGAGGCTGAGGCCTTGCCAAGTGGTAAATCCATGGGCCAGCTCCCCTGAGAAGGAGCAGCATAGTCAGGACTAAGGTGTTTTCTCTACCATAGGGCGGCCTCACCTCGCCTGGAATTAGGTTCTCAGGTCCTGTGGGGAGGGGGCACAGGGTAGGTAAGTTGGACTCTGAGAATGGAGAAGGGCCCAGGGGCAGGTCAGGGTGGGTCAGCACAGTGGGTGGGCACCTGAGGGCCAGGGTGGGCCCCTAAGCAGGCAGCAGTCTGGGGAGAGGCCCAGCCCAGATTCCACTCTGCTGAGGATGAGGTTGACCTGCTGGGGACCGATGGGCCCCTCCAGGTCCTGGGGTGATGGACCACCAAGAGCTGAGAGGGCCTCACTTTCCTAGGACTCCAGGGATTCCATGTTTCACCTCAGGCCCCAACTCCACCCTGCCATAGCTACAGCCACCAGCAGCAATCTGGCCTAGGGAGCCCCCATAGCCCATTCAAGACAGAGCTGCGCCTTTTTCTGATGCTACCTGACTGAAGAACACAGGGGAAAATTAGCCCGGAAGTAGCAAAGATGTCAAAGGCTGCCGATGTGGCGAGGAGCCAAGCATCCCCACTCCTCTGTGGGAGGGAGCCCTGTGCTGGGCGGTTTGCAGGACAGGCCTGTGCTGCCCCTCAGGCTGCCTGCTGGGCTTCCCCCACCTCTTCCAACATCTCCAGACTCCAGGACCTTCGGGGTGGGCGGGCATGGTGTTCCTTAAATCCCCACACCAAGGCCCTGGCACGTGGGATTTGGTATGTCTCTGAGGACTGGCCAGCTCTGCCCTTGGCTTCCCCATGTGGGGCCCAAGGGAATAACCAGCCTATCAGGCTGCGGGGATGTGGGGTCCACAGAGCTGATAGCTGAGGCCGCATTCTGCCACCAACTTCCCACTAGCGTACCCTCTCAGGGCCTCGGATTCCCCACCTGTCCAGCAGGAAGGTTTAGAATCTTCCTCCAGGACTGTTGTGAGAGAAATCCCTCTGTTAAACACAAAGTCCAATGTGAGAAAAGGCAGGGACCCTTGTCGGGGAAGGTTTAGCCCAGCAGGCACCTCTGGGAGCCCACTTTGGTAGAAAGGGCCCCTTGGTGCCCTCCAAACCTACATTTGCCTGTACTCCTGGCTGGAACATGCTGGCCTCCTGCTCACAGGTCCTGGAGCTCCTGTGTCAGATCCTGGAAACAGACTCACTGAGCGCGATACAGTTCTGGCTGCTCTACGCTCCGCCCAAGGGTGAGGACACAGCCCGGCAGCACTGTCTCAGCGGAGGCTCCCAAGGTCCTGCCCTTGATCTCTGGTTCTGCAGAACTTAAATGTCACTCTGCTCCCACCCTGGAGGGGCCCTTCCATGGGGCCTCTCCTCCTCCATTTTGGAGCCCCCAACTAGCCCTTCCCAGCTGGACAGTGTCTCTGCTTCCTCCTCCCCCATTCCTCAGCAGGATTTCCTTACCCCTGCTCCTTGGAGGGGACCCCCTTTCATGCTGACCCCAGGACTCGGCACCTGGGAGGGAGAAATCCAAAGACTGTACTTAGCAGACACAACCCCTCACACACCGCAGTGGGAGACCCACAAACACACAGGTGCAAGTATACACACATAGGATTACACACATGCATAAACAAACACATGAATACACACACGGGCGCATTGGGACAGTGGGTGGGGGGACATCTGAGTAGAAGGGTGAGGAGTGATGACAGCCAGGAAGCTAGCTGGAGAAGACTTCCTGGATAGGAGAGGAGGAGGAGGAGGGAGGCGGGGAGGGGGAGAGGGGGAGGGGGAGAGGGAGGGGAAGGAGGGCAGAGGAAGGCAGGTTCCGGGTAGGCTTCCTAGAGTGGGCCAGGGGATATGCTGGGCAGGAGGGCCAGCTGGGGCTGAGAACAAGGTACACACATGCTTGTGTGGCAGGACAGGGATGTGGAAGGGCTGGGGGCTCTGGCACACAGGGGCCAGGAGAGAAGGGGGAGCTCTCCTGAGGGGACCTGGGGGCAGAAGGTGGGATGCTTAGAGAAAGCTGCCCTGGATTACAGGGCCGAGCAAGAGCTGGAGGACCTGCTTCTGCCCCCAACCCGCCCCCTGCAGAGACAGGAAGGGGGCTGGGGACTGAGGACTCTGACCCCAGGCTGTGCTTTCAGAAAAAGACCTGGCTCTGGGACTCCTGCAGACAGCGGTGGCTCAGCTCCTTCCACAGCCCCTAGTCTCCATCCCTACAGAAAAGCTCCTAAACCAGCTCCAAGAAATGCAGGAACCTCCTCAAGAGAAGCAAGAGCTGCCCTGCAGGTGGGCCCCGCACCCCTCCCCTACCCTTCTGCAGCCTTCTGTCCTCCCAGGTGAGGCCAGTGGGACCTGGAGAAAGGAGCCTGGCACTGGCCAGGGCCTGGGCTGACAGCCTGTCTGGGAGACCTTCCAGTGCTGCCCAAAGCCAGACCACCCCGGGCTGCCAGGGGTGGGGAGAGCAGTGGAGGGGACCACCAGTGTCAGTTGTAACCAGGGCTGGTTTAGCCATACCTAACCCTTCAGAAGCTCTTTGGTCTATGGGAAGACGTGAGTAAAGAGGAAATGCTAACACAAGGCAGTGCCTTTATACCAGTACTAAGTGCCCTGACGACTGGAGGAGGAAAATTACCAACGGGGTGAGGCTTCACAAAGCAGGTGGGTGGAGCCTGAGAGTCAGCAAGGCCACACTGAGCTGCGATAAGTTTGCCTGACACCGCTGGGTGCTTCACATTTTTCTAGTCCATCCAACAACCCACTGAGGCAGTATTAGCTTCATTTTACAAATAGGAAAACTGAGGCTCAGGAACACTGAATGGCCTTCCCAAAATAACCTGGCTGGTCAAGAGAAGGGCTGGGATTCAGACTCGGACCTATCTGACTCCCAGGCCCAGCAGCACTCAGCTTCGCCCCGGGAGCTTGTTAAAATGCAGACCCCCTAGAGATTCTAATGTAGCAGGCTGGGGGTAAAGCAGGGGGCCTGTATTTTTAACAGTCACCTGAGTGTTTCCAACAGAGCTAGGGGAACACTGATAGGAGGGGTAGGATTTGATTGAGCAAATAAAAGCATGGGAAAAAATCATCCCGGAAAGTGGGACCAGCCGGGGTGAAGGCATGGAAATCAGGAAGGTATCCTGGGGGAATGCCAAGTTTGGGGTGTCTGGAGCATGGGTGGGCTTGGCGAGAAGAAGCAGGGGTAGGGGCTGGACTGAGATTTCTTGAAGGCATGGGTTCTCGCACAGCCTTGGACTTGGTGTTCCCTTCCACTCTGAGAGCGCAGAGGAGGAACGCTGAGGAAGACAGGCTTCACGGCAACCTTGTGCAAACCACCTACCAGCTGTGAAAGTCAGCTTCATCTGTCTCTCAAAAGACCTCTCCCAGAGTCATAGGCAGGGAAAGTAACATCAGGCGCATAAAAAGGCGTCAGGAGGTGTAAAGCACAATACAAGACAGAAGAGTATCTTTCATATTGTAATTCCATTAAGATGCAGGGTTCTTGTCTTGTCCCTCAAAAGGAAGTCCACAAGGAAACCAGTGGGGCGAGTGAGTGAGGGCTGGGGGAGGACTGGTGCAGAGTCCATCCCTTGCTGCTCCAGAGACAGGAGGGCCTTGGTTCCCAGTGGAACTAACTGCAGACAGCAGGGCCACAGTTGTCTGGGTCTGGCTTGGGATGACACAGGAAGGCCACCTGGGTGCTAGCCATGGACAGATGCTTTCTAGTCCCGCAGGAGGGGTGGCTCTGGCCTCTCCCTGGAGCAGACAGCTGCCTGCCCCTACACCGCCTTCCCCACCTCCCCATCTTCGCTGCCACCCACAGGGGTAGGTTTCCGCGTAACCTTCCCAGCCCCTCCTTTGTCTTTGGTTACAGTCAATCCCCGAAGAAAACGAAAATACCACCTTTTTCAAAAAGTGAAAAACCAGGTAAGATTCCAAGTAGTGGGTCATTGAGGGGGGCTCACCGAGGCTCACTGTGGCTGGATTTCTCAGGAGATTTCAGTCAACATGGAGATGAGTCCCAGGCCAAGGAAGCTGTTCGCTTCATTCATTCATTCATTCACAAATATTTATTGAGCACCCACAATGTGCTGAGCTCTGGGGATCATTGAAGAAGAATTCAGACAACTTCCTGCTGTTACAGAACTTACATCCCAGCGAGGAGGCATACAGACAACAAATAAAAACACCTGGGGACAAGTGGGGACAGATACCGTAAGGAGAACAAGCAGGGTTCTGTGGTCGGTAGTAAGAAGGACTGGCAGGTGGGGAGAGGGCTCCTAGAGCTGAAAGGCAGAAAAGATCCAGCCCTGCCCAAGTCTAGGAAGAGCCAACTAGTAAAGCTCCCACCTCTTGGTGTGCTGGTGGAAAAGCAAGCAGACTACGGTGGCCAGGGCCTTATGTGGGGGACAGTGGTAAGGGAGGGATGAGACAGGTGGGAGAAGCCGGCCTGCGGTAAAGGCCAGGTGTGTGCATGGGTGCATAAGACGGTTATGAGCAGGGTGGGTGTGCCCCCTCTGTGTGCAGCATGGACTATAGGAGACAAGAAGGGGCAAGGGAGACCGCTGCATTCATTTCAGCGCCTTAGATTAGAGTGGGGGACAGGGGCACGGCAGGCTGGAGGGGAGAGAAGAGGAAACACATCCTCGATGTATCTTATTTTCCCTAATTAGACCATCAAGGGTCCAGAGTGCCTGGCAGAGAGGCACAGAATAGGCACCTCATTGATATTTGTTACTTGGATGTTGAAAGAAGAGAGGGTGGATTCCATTAGGAGAAGGGAATCGCTCCATTCCTCTCAAGTTGGATTCCCTCCTCCATCACCAGCAGAGCTGAGAGCAGGAGTTGCAGTTGACTCAGACCTCCCTCTCAGCACTCATACATCCACCTGCACTCCCAGGTAGTGGCCCTGCCTTGCCAGTCCTCTCCTGCCTGCTGCCTCTCCCCTCACTAGAGTACATTGGAGAAGCTCAAGTCCTCCGGATGCATTCAAGCCAGAACACAGAGGAGAAGACATCCAAGCCGAGGGCAGAGAGAAGACGTCCAAGCCGAGGGCAGAGAGCTGAGGAGCCCTAACACCTGCCCCGGCCTTGCCCAGGAGCAGCCCCAAGCGTTCAGGGGTGTTTCTGTCCTCACCACCTTCACAGCAGCACCTGATCCCCTACTGTGAAAAGCCTACTAAATAAAACCCTGTCTTCCCTGGGAGAGGGCAGTTCCACTTTCCTAGCAGTGGGAGGCCTGTGCTTGGGGTCACTGATTCCAGGAGAGAGATGGGCTGCACGGAGCCATCCCCACTCCCCACTCCCATGGGAAAGCCCAAGTGCTACCTCCATGGGGCTTCCCTGGTTCTTTTATGTTCTGGGGAACTGAAGAGCTGATGGCAGTTGGGGCATCCTGAGAAAGGGACTCTGCCCCTCCTAGAGCCAAGACACACAGAACTCTGAGTAGGGTAGAGCAGACGTCAGAGACCATGCAGGCCTCCTTAGAATACTCACTATTGCCAATTATTGAGTTTCTACTTTTTGTGTGTGCTGGCCACAGAGGCAGGACTCAGGTAAAAGCTGGTGATGAGCACAATGATGAACAATGTGAATTGCTTCATGTGCTTTATACGCGGTACATACCTACACGCATGCAGATGAAACAACTTGTCCAAAGTCCTACAGTCAAAGAGTGGCAGAGCCAGGACCCACAGCCTGGATGTCTGGCTCCAGAACCCTGCTCCTAAAAACTGTATTCTGGCCAGGTGTAGTGGCTCAGGCCTGTAACCCCAGCACTTTGGGAGGCTAAGGCAGGTGGATCACTGCTGAGGTCTGGAGTTCAAGACAAGCCTGGCCAACATGGTGAAACCCCATCTCTACTAAAAATACAAAATTAGCCAGGCATGATGGTGGATGCCTGTAATCACAGCTACTCAGGAGGCCGAGGCAGGAGAATTGCTTGAACCTGGGTAGCAAAGGTTGCAGTGAGCCAAGATCGTGCTAGTGCACTCCAGCATGGGCAACAGAGTGAGACTCTATCTCAGAATTTAAAACAAACAAACAAACAAACAAACAAAAAAAAAACTGCATTCTACTTCCTTACAGCCACTCTAGCCAAAAGCTGTGGTTACATTTCTGAAAAGTGTAAGATCTAGAGAAGACTCTCTGGGAAGTCCAATGTCTTCCATGACATTTCTGCAAATTCCCTGGAAAACTGGGGTGGGGAGGAGGCATCAGGGATTTATAAGGTCATGGCCCCTGTGGCTCTGCGCTGCTATTTTACCGGCTTAGTCAATGAAGTAAGTGGACTTAGTTCCATGGTCTGTGGCTCCATGCTGTACTTGCAACACCACTCTACCTCACACTCATTCAGATGAATTCAGTCCACCTGGGTTTTCCCAAATACCCCATTCATGCAAAACTATTCTGTGCTACAGGCTTCAATCGAGATTAGTGGATGGATGGAGATTTGCTATTAATCAAGTAAACAGCTTCACATTCCACACTGAGCCACCTTGTTTTTAAAGCCCCGTGCCCATCTTCCACTGTGGTTTGTCTCCCCAGCAGCAGCATGTGTAACACGATGCAGCCATGTTCAGGAAAGTCTCCAGGCCCTGCTCCTCAAGGTGCTACCTGTCCTCTTGCGTATCCAGGTGATTTCTCATGGGTGTCAGGATGCCATGGCCACTTCCTGGTCACTCCCAAGTTTTCTCTGTCTCCAGGACCTGGAAGTTCTCTTCTCCCTTTCCCCTGCTCCTCTCCTTAAAGCATTGAGACAGATTTTCCCTTTCATCTTTTCCCTTAAGGGTCTAGGTCCTTCTTGGGAGGACCCAGTCTCCTTAACCATGGAGGTAGCCATTGTTTTTGGCTGTCCAGGAATGTGAAACCTAGCACTGTCCAACCAGAGACCCCATCCCTTGGCACAGTGTGTCAGCCTCGTTGTCTAGGGTAATACCTGAGGTTTGTTGTCTCACAGCCAAGAAAATTAAAGATGCAGGCACACAAAGAGTCAGGTTAAGAGTGGAAGTTTTAACAGGTGAAAGAGAAGAGCTCTCTCTGAAGAGAGAAGTCTCAGAGAAATAAGTTGCTGGTTCCATGGGAGTTTTATAGATGAGCTTGAGGAGGTAGTGTCTTATGTACATAGGGTGGGAATCAGTTGGACCAGATGTGCCTTTTGCATAGGCCACAAAAAACTGGTTAGGACTTAGTTGTGCCATTTGCATAGGGTGGGAATTTCTGACCACCCTCACCCTAGTCTTTTATTATGCAGGCAGGTCCTCTGTATACGTGGTAACAATAAAAGTGAAGATGGAACCTCCATGTTGGGCATGGCTGGCTCCCAGGTGGCCCTTTTCTATTGGCACAACATTCCCCTGTGCAAGCTTCTAGCCTCCTTATTTATGCTTGCAGCTCGATTTTGCAGGCTCTCTTTGTTAAAAAAAAAAAAAAATTTCTTGGGCTGCTTTTTGTTTAAAGGAAAGCTCTACCAAGGACTCTCTAACCCTCACTATGTGTCTAAATAATTTCTTTCTACCTCCTATATCAATAGGACTGGTCAGGGATAGGACAAACATTTAACCCAAGCTGGGCCAATCACAGTCTGTCCTTGGAAATTTATTTTTGTGGGGGAAGGAAGGTTCAATTTTCAGAGGATTCCATCATTGTTCTATGTGGACGAAGTCCTGGGTACAGTCACACCTGAGGCTCCTGATTCTTCCCCACCATTTGCCATATGTGAGGCAATAAAATTTCTTCTTTATCCAATGGTTGATTTTTATGTGTACTTTTTTAACATAAAATTTACCATCTTGACCATTTTTAAATACACAGTTCAGTGGCATGAAGTACTTTCACATCGCTGTGCCACCATCCCTCCCATCTGTCCACACAGTTATTCATCTTGCAAAGCTAACACTCCATGCCCATTAAACAATAACTCCCCATTCTCTCGTCTCCTAGTTCCTGGCAACACCATTGTACTCTGTATTCTGGAATTGACTACTCTAGGTACCTCACTTAAGTGGAATCATACCGTATTTGTCCTTCTGTGACTGGCTGATTTCACTTAGCATAATGTTCTCACTCTTCAGCCATGTTGCAGTGTATGTCAGAATTTCCTTCCTTTTTTTTTTTTTGAGACATAATTTTGCTCTTGTTGCCCAGACTGGAGTGCAATGAGCGATCTCAGCTCACTGCAACCTCTGCCTCCTGGGTTCAAGCGATTCTCCTGCCTCAGCCTCCTGAGTAGCTGGGATTACAGGCATGTGCACCATGCCCAGATAATTTTGTAGTTTTAGTAGAGACGGGCTTTTGCCATGTTGGTCAGGCTGGTCTTGAACTCCTAACCTCAGGTGACCCAGCCGCCTAATCTTCCCAAAGTACTGGGATTACAGGTGAGAGTCACCCTGCCCGGCCAATTTCCTTCCTTTTTAAGCCTAAATGATATTCCCATGTATGAATATATCCTTTTGTTTATCTATTCATCCATTGATGGACACTTGGGTTGTTTTCACTTTTGTCTACTGTGAATAATGCTGCTATGAGATTGAGTGTACAAAAGTGAGTGATTTTTGTGTCATGTGTGATGAAAAGGATCCACAATAATCTCAGATCTTATAGCTGGTAAGCCGAGGTTTCAGAATTGAAATCCAGATTCACCAGACTCCAGAGTCCTGGCTCTGACCGACAAGAGCCCTTGGTTTCTGAACTTGAACCGTTCCCACACCCCATCAGGAATTTTGTTCTACCTGCCTTTTTTTTTTTGAGACAGGTTCCCATTCTGTTGTCCAGGTTTGAGTGCAACTCACTGCAGTCTCACACTCCTGAACTCAAGCAGTTCTCCTATCTCAGCCTCCTCAGTACCTGGGACTACAGGCACGTGCCACCACGCCTGGCTAATTTTTGTATTTTTGTGTAGAGACAGGGTCTCCCTATGCTGCCCAGTCTAGTCCTTAACTTCTGGGCTCAAGCGATCTGCCCATCTCCACCTCCCAAAGTGCTAGGATTACAGGTGTGAACTACTACACCCAGCCTTGTTACAACTGTTTACCACCTGTATTCTTCCTTAATGTTTATTTAAATTTACCTTTCTTTTTTTGCTTAAATAAATATATGTGTTAGTCCTACTCTCACACTACTATAAAGAACTATCTGAGATTGTGTAATTTATAAAGAAAAGAGGTTTCATTGACTTATGGTTCCACAGGCTATGCAGGAGGCATGGCTGGGGAGGCCTTAGGAAATTTACAATCATGGCAGAAGGGCAACGGTGAAGCAAGCATGTCTTCACATCATGGCAGGAGAGAAACAGAGTGAAGGGGGAGGTGCTACACAGTTTCAAACAACTGGATCATGAGAACCCACTATCACAAGAACAGCAAGAGGGAACTCTGCCTTATGATCCAGTCACCTCTCACCAGGTCCCTCCTCCAACACTGAGGAATACAATTCAACATGAGATTTGGGTGAAGACACAAATCTAAACCCTATCATGCTGTCCCGGCCCCTCCCAAATCATGTCCTTTCCACGTTTCAAAACACAAACATGCCTTCTCAACAGTCCCTCAAAGCCTTAACTTATTCCAGCATTAACTCAAAAGTCCTAAGTCTCACCTGAGACTAAGCAAGTCCCTTCCACTTATGAGCCTGGAAAATCAAAAACAAGTTAGTTACTTTCAAGATACAATGGAGGTACAGGCAGTGGGTAAATGCTTCTGTTCCAAATGGGAGAAATTGGCCAAAACAAAGAGGCTACAGGCCTCCATGCAAGTCTGAAATCCAGAAGGGCAGTCATTAAATCTTAAAGCTCCAAAATAATCTCCTTTGACTCCGTGTCTGACGTCCAGACTACACTGATACAAGAGGTGGGCTCCCAAAGCAATGGGTAGATCCACCCTTGGGGCTCTGCAAGGTACAGCCCACTTGGCTGCTTTCACAGGCTGGTGTTGATTGCCTGCAGCTTTTCCAGGTGCATGGTATAAGCTGTCAGTGGATCTACCATTCTGGGGTCTGGAAGATGGTGGCCCTCGTTTCACAACTCCACTAGGCAGTGCCCCAGTAAGGACTCTGTGTGGGGGCTCCAACCCCACATTTCTCCTCTGCACTGCCCTAATAGAGGTTATCCATGAGGGCTCTGCCCCTGCAGCAGACTTCTCGGACGTCCAGGAGTTTCCATACATCCTTTTAAATCTAAGCAGAGACTCCCAAGCCTCAATTCTTGCCCTCTGTGCATCCACAGGGCCAATACCATGTGGAAGCCCACTAAGGGTTCCTATGGCTTGTACCCACTGGAGCAGCAGCCCAAGATATATCTGGGGCCCTTAATCATGGCCGGAGCTGGAGCGGCTGGAACACAGGGTGCCATGTCCTGAGGATGCACAGGGCAGTGGGGCCGTTGGCCTAGCCCATGAAACCATTTTCCCTCCTAGGCTTCCAGGCCTGTGACAGGAGGGGCAGCCATGAAGTCCTCTCAAACTTCTTTGAGACATCTTCGCCATTGTCTTGGCTATTAACATTCAGCTCCTCTACTTATGCAAATTTCTGCAGCCTGCTTGAATTTCTCCTAAGAAAATGAGTCTTTCTACCACATGGCCAGGCTGCAAATTTTCCAAACTGCTATGCTCTGCTTTCCTTTTAAATATAAGTTCCAATTTCAGATCATATCTTGGCAAATGTGTATGAGTTTATGCTGTTAGAAGGAGCCAGGACACATCTGGAACACTGCTGTTTAGGAATTTCTTCCACCAGATACCCTAAATCATTTCTCTCAAGTTCAAAGTTCCACAGATTTCTAGAGCAGGGGCACATCGCTGCCCATCTCTTTGCTAAAGCATAGCAAGAGTGACCTTCACTACAGGTCCCAACAAATTTCTCATCTCCATATGAGACCTCCTCAGTCTGGAATTCACTGTCCGTTTCACTACCAGCATTGTGGTCACAACATTCACGCCTCTAGGACATTCCAAACATTTCTACATCTTCCAGTCTTCTTCTGACCCCTTCAAACTGTTCCAACCTCTTCCTGTTACCCAGTTCCAAAGTTTTCAAATATCTTTATAGCAATGCCTCATTTCTCTGGTACCAATTTTTTGTATTAGTCTGTTCTCACATTGCTATAAAGAACTACCTGAGACTGGGTAATTTATAAAGAAAAGAGGTTTAATTGGCTCCCAGTTCCACAGGCTGTACAGGAAGTTTATGGTATTGGGGGATTTTGGTTCCTTAAATGATCATCTAGTCATACTGTGGGTACTGTGTCATCATTAAAAATGAAGACGTAGTTCAACATAGTTCAGGATGGAAAGGTGTTCTTGGTACCTCGCTGTGGGGGTGGTAAGAGGGGGATGATGTGTATGTGTACAGTATTAATAATATCCACCTGGCATGTGTGTATGTGTACAGACACACACAGTCTTGCACATGCACATACCTGGAATGGATAACCAAATTATTAACAGTGGTTGTTGCTAGGTAGAATTATAGATTTTTTCTTTTCAGGTTGCAAAATTTTTCAATAATGAGCATATATTTCTTGCATTTTTTTTTTTTTTGAGACAGAGTTTCAGAGTTTCTGGTGCCAAGGCTGGAGTGCAGTGGTGTGATCTTGGCTCACTGCAACCTCCACCTCCCGGGTTCTAGCAATTCTCCTGCCTCAGCCTCATGAGTAGCTAGAACTACAGGCACGCACCACTACCCCCAGCTAATTTTTTGTATTTTTTAGTAGAGATGGGGTTTCACCATGTTTCCCAGGCTGGTCTCGAACTTCTGAGCTCAGGCAATCCACCCACCTCGGCCTCCCAACATGCTAGGATTACAGGCATGAACCACTGGACCCAGCCTCTTGCATAACTTTTTAAAGGAGAAGATTTATGGTGTGGGCCCCAGAGATTTCAAATCCATGGCAGCTGGGTCCCTGGCACTGTCCCAGCTACATACACTTCCACCCCCTCTTGTCCTTTGCCCTCTCCCCTAGACCTCTACCTTCCCCCAAGCCTTCAGTCTCCTGAAGCCAGCTAGGGAGCAGGGGCTCCTTGGAAGAACCCACAGAGTTCCAGGTTAGATGGCCCAGGCTCTGTGCCTTCCTCTCTTCTCCTGCTTGCTGTATCATTTCAGGTGGAGGGCCTGGAATGTTCACCAGGAGGGTAAACCAAGAAAGGGCCCAGAGGCCAGTCTATTTCCAAGGAACACGAAGAAGCTCCAATTGCCACTATTCTCCTCTGGAGGAATGGGAAGGTAAGTCTCCTGCTGCTCTCCCTGAATACTCATCATCCCCCCAATCCCTTCCCCACCAGGAGCTTTCAGGCCTTACTAGCCCAAATGAAGTCACAGGCTGGAACCTCAATGAGGCCATCTGGACACAGAGGACAGCCATGGTGAGGACTTCCCAGGCTCCTTGGACAAGAGAGTAAGGGTGACTCTATGTAGCACTGTCCCTCCTGCCCCCAAGGGCAAGGAGATGCTGGAACTTCAGGGGGCTTCCTCCAAAATGACAGGTGTGCTGGCCCCTGGCCACGGGTTGAGGAAGCTTGGCAGACCATGGCAAGGGCTCTGGAAGCCAGTCGGGGCTAATAGGCTAGACTCCAGGCACCTGGCTGTCACTGCAGCAGAGCTCTGCCAAGCGTGGGGCAGGTGTGGATACAGCCTTGAAGTCACAGTGACCTGGAGAATCCTCTCCAGGGAATAGATAGGCAGTGTGGCACTCTGGCACCTGCACCCACTGGACTCCAAACAGAAACCGTTTAGGGCAGGAA